GCAAGAAGATAACTCGGAGGGCGACATCTGCTATTTGGGGAATATTTGCGGAGCTGGACAAACCCAAACTTGCTCAGGGCTCCCATTGATAACAGACAGCTTTTTGCGTCTGAAGGGGCTACCCTGAGCGGTATAAATTAATAAAGGTTCTTCTTCTTCTATCGAAGATGAACTTAACATCGATGCAGGTGAGCTTGTTTTAGCTTTGTTTTTAAACTCGGAATTATTTTGAATGAATAATCAAACAATTATTGAAATCGGCTTTCGTATCATATGAAGAATTATGGTGATCTCGGAGGATGTTATCCGCCTCGGCCTACGGCCTCGACGGATAACACCCTCCTCGATCTCCATAATTCTTCATAAGATACTCAGCCTCATTCTTTAATTGTTAATTACTTAAGGGAGGCTCGAAAGATAAATACTACCGACCCACTTGTGGGGGTGGTTTTCATTGGTGGCTAAAATCACGTTATTTCCAGGATAACCCATCCGGGATTAACTTGTTCATTCCATTGCATCCGCGAATGGAGCAACTTACCATAGAAATTCCATAGAAAAGCTTCAGTTGAAACTCATGTAACCACGTGAAATTCCATGTTGAGTAAAATGTATTTAATTTTTGTTCTTGCAGCTACACCAAACCGCTATCCGCGAAACGAAAGAGGTGCAAGAGCGACTTGCAATCACGCTGTTTGTCTCTGTGACATGGAAATGTTTCGATGCTTTAATCAGTACGGGAGGGACTTGGATAGATACAGCGGATGGGCACAAAGTAATACTTGCGCTTTCTCAGGTACGGGTTCATTTTATTTACAAAATCACACCCTCCCCCCTCCGCATCAAAACTAATCCTTACATTCTGCCAGTCCTACAATCATAAAATAAGCCCTTATTGGATATAAAGAACTGTTAGCGATATCTTGAGGGGAATTTCCCTGGTTTAAAAAGATAGATATTTTTTATATTAATTAAGGGGATCTTAAATTTAAAATAATCGCTTTTGCACGTACTGAAAATACCCAAATAACAATCAACCGAATTGACGTCGGCTTGTGTCAAATGTTAGGGCGCAAGGACGACGGCGACAGCTACGAAAACGTCACTTAAAAAATGAATTTGCTCTGCCCCAAACTTTACTACGCTTATTCCACCTCGTTTAATTCATCAAACGTTCGCAATTTTTTTTGGAGTTGAATTCTAAAGGACTGCATCAAAGTTCAGGAAAGAAAAAGAAAGTTGTTGTCTTTTGTTCCAGTCTTCGACAAAACGTGAAATTAGGCAGTTTCGCGTTGTAGTCGTGCAACAACGGAAGAGAAATGTACAAAAATCGTGATGCACGTGCAAAGTTGTTGTTTTGCTTGTCTAAACCTATTGCTTTTTTTGCCGATCTCGTTGCCGTCGCCGTCGCCGTCGCCGTTGCGTAAACTCCCTATTAGAGTTTGAGACGGATAAACATGTACAAAGTGAAAAAGCTCAAGTACAAGGAAGTTCTAGGTCAAGCAGCCGAGGATCAGAATCAAATCCGAACTTCCTGTTGGTAAATAAACTCTCCCGGATCAGTCCACACGAAGCTTTATGATCTTGATTAATAATTATTACAGTCTATCATTGATTAGTGAAGAATAATGAGGGGTGGGGATGAGGGCTTATTAAGTTATTTTTTCCTTAACTTAAGCACTGATAAATTAGAAACGTTTTCTTGTACTTCCACTATTTTTGTTTTGTAGAAAACAATGACATATGCTTTGAAAATTCCTGCTACACATTTACCGAGTCAGGAGAAACATGGACCGAGAACCAAAACAACTGCCAGAGTAAAGAAGGCGACCTTGTTTCTATAGAAACTGATGACGAATGGCAATTTATTAATGAAGAGATTCAAGCGCGTGCTATCGCGGAATGGCATATAGGATTGAAAAAAGAGCAAACAGTTTGGAAGTGGGTTAATAGCCAATCATTGACAATCAGCAAATGGCAAGCAGGCCAGCCATCTGGTGACGGAAATGTGGCTGTAATGACGAAGGGTTCTTCAAGCACAAAAGGCCTGTTTAAAAACCTGGCAGATCAGCCTCATAAAGCCTTTATTTGTGAAATACCTAAAGGTAATACAAGGAAATTGGGTATACACATTTAGCCTTAAAAAACTCCATCAATCGAATTTCGTAACGCCTGGGGATTACAATCTACAAAGTCACATTTTTTTATTACAGTACTACGCTCCTTACATTTGCCACTCGAAGAATGTTTTTGATTGAATTTTGACATCTTTTTGACAGCTTTTTGCTAACTTCAGCCAATCAAAAAATGAGAATTGCCAAGGGCGGAAATGTCAAATTATAAGTCCATTCACTCCCTTGGGATTTTACAGGTCTCACAACAAGCGAACGATTATGGAAAGTTTTTTGCAAGTTTTCTCCTAGAAAATGTCTCATACGTTGGTTTTGTAAGTAGCATTAAAATGTATTGTTCTTCTTTGGCTCTCCTGAACGAAAATAAGATTACACTTACCTACGGTGAATGTTTGTCAAACATATTTTTTTTGGCGTTCTTGCAAATGCTTCTTAATACGGCGAAAGAAGTGAAAGACCAGGGCCCGGTTGCATAAAACGCCCGTAACAGTTATGGGTATACGTACGTGTACTCGTAACTTAAGTCAGTTGCATTAACTCACTTACGTGGTCCACTTAGGGATTTCACTTAAGTGGCTGCTCTTACGATTTTCGTAAGTATCCACTTAAGTGTCATTTATGCAACAGAAATTGCGGGTGTTGCATAAAACCCTTTTCACGGGAAAACTAGCACGTAAATTTACGGGACCTATGTAGGTCCCGTATCCTTATTGTTTTTACTAAAGTTAACGAGATCTTTTACTGAGAAGTGAAAAAAAATTGTATTTTCTTTACGTAATTCCGTTCTAATGCGCTTTGTTAACCTCTGATGTACAATTTAAAGTCGTCGTTAAGAAAAAAGAAGAACAACAAACATTTCCAATGGATATTGAAGTAAAATAACGATTTCATGTAAACTTTATTTGAATGAGAGGCTTAAAAAGGTGTTCGAAACGACTTGACACTTTCTTTACACTCACCGATGGTTAACTTAATTTAAAAAAATAGAGTGAGTCAAATTAATAATTTAAAGTACTATAACAAAGTTACGTGTGCCCTTAAGTGAGCCCGTAAGTTACCACGTAAAACAGAAACTTACGAGAGTGCTAAGTGTGTTCCATGCAACACCCGTAAGTGTACCCATAACGCATTCGTAAGTGACCTACTTAAGTAAGCACTTAAGTGCAGGTTTTATGCAACCGGGCCCAGGACTACAAAAAAGCATTTATTCAAGCTAACGAAGTTGACTCTGCGTGCCCTTGCAAAAGGAGGCGAGGGAAGTTTGGCCTGTAAAATCCAAGTACCTGGCGACGAACTTAGCTGTTTAGAAGTTTAGAACCCAAACAACTGTCGTTGATGCTTAAACTGTCGTATTTAAACTGAACTTCAGCTGCAGAACTGAATAAATGTGCAACGGACAAGTAAACTTTCATTCATTCTCAGTCAACGCTTAGATGGAAAATATCAAGAGCAAATCGGCAAACAGATTATTCATTAAAACGTTAGCTGTGGCATTCTTAAAAAGAATGGAAAATTTCACGCTGCTTAAACCGGCGGCAAATTGTCGCCGTCAAGTCTCTCCAACGGAGACTCCGCGCATTCTGATTGGCCATCTGATATCAGAAAGTTGTCAGAATTTTATCAAAGACTTTCTTCGAGTAGCAACGGTAAGGCGCGTAGCACTGTAAGGATGCCACTGTGACGATACATGACATTTGTTACATGATATTAGAATGCCTCAGTGCGTCTCTTTTCAGGAAATCCCGAGTCCACAAAACCGCATCTCCTCCGCCGAATCAACGATATTGAGAAGCTATAATAATAATAATAATAATAATAATGATGATGATGATTGTTTATTCAACCTTTTTGCAGCATAAACTGAATTACAAGGCGGGTCATTAATTACATACAAATACTTCGGAATTATGAGACGTAAATATAACTGTTAATGTTAAGACATATCACATTTCGCTATTTTGAACATGATTCTGGTATTTGATGCTGCAAAAATTTCCAATTTTCTATACAATGCATGATATTATACGAAATGATTTGATTTAAAGTGGTATGACAGGATATGAGATGACATGATGCTAAGACCGATGAAAAATGTATTAAAAAATTACGCGAACACGCGTGTTTCATTTTGTCTCTACTGATAATAACTCGTTGTATAATTATTTACAGACGACTATTGCAGCATCACGGCAGATGTGATTATTCTGGCACAAGACAGTGAGAAAATTTCAGCATCGACAACTCAAATAATAAAATCTGTAGCGGAAAGACTGCTCTCTGTTCTAGACGATGATACAACTGTGACCTACAACTTTGCATTTGCAATGTACGCTGAGCACTTAAACATCAGTTCCTTTGGCAACAAGGCGACAACACTTTCGTACATGAATGGATTGTTTAGTAAAACCAAACAGCAGCGAAATAACGGAGACAAAAACATGTTAAGACCTATTCTTAATCAAACCATACAGGAGTTTCAGAGTCGCCCAACTGACAACAAAAAGGTAAGTTTTACTTAAAAGTTATGTTTTTCTTTTGTTTTATACATTTTTTCTTCACCAAAAATAAATTGCGTATCGCCCTCCTTCTAAGTTGATGAGATCCTTGAGTGTCTCTTTCCACGTTTTATTTTTCTGGAACATATAGGACATAGGAGCATTCCTCATACAAATAGTCGGCTTGAGACTGGGTTGGTGTGGTGTTCAATTGCAGCATGGGATGAATTTAATAATGACATTTGTAACAACTAATAAAGATGCAGGCGGGTGTCTCTAAAACAGGAGTCCCATAAGACAATTCGACACAAAAACAACTCAGTAGCCAGCTCACTGGTTTCCGGAATCAGTTTCAAAATATTAATGCTTTGTTATGTTGGTTAAGGTTCTAGTGCTTTTCTCAGATGGGAACAGCGAGAATAGGAGAGGCAGGATCATAGATACCTACAAGCTTCGAGATGTAGAAAAATTAATGAAAGACACAAAGAAGATCAACGTTGCTGGTGCTCTTATTTCCAACTCCGACAATTCAAAACGATTACAAGACCTTAAAGTCACTGTGTCGAAACCAGACGATGCCATAACCACCGAATTTAGCACTTTAAACGTGAACAATATCGCAGATCAGCTTGCGGATAAGGTGAAACGGTTGGTGGCCTGTAAGGGTAAGTCACAAGTTCAATTGAAATTTAGATGATCCATTTTTGAAAGAGTAAAATGGATTACTCTTTTTTTACCCTTTTTAATTGCGAACTACTAAAAAAAATAGTTTTTGGCCCAAATTTTGATCTAACTTGTTGTTAAACATTGTATTTCAGCATAATACCCCGGGCATGAAATCTAGCAATTGTTATCTAATCAGAAAATCTGAAAATTTTCCAGTATCCCTATCATCTATTTGTCATCTTTTGTACTATATAAGACGAGGTCACATTCTTCTTTTTCTGTCAAAGAAAATAATGCGATAAAATAAAATAAATAATGATTTGGAGGTAGAACATCCACAACGTGGTTCTTCGTCTACCTGATTCCTGGTCAGATTGTCTCAGCAGAGTGCGCTATTCACGGGGAAATAGCAAGTAGTCAGCTTGAGTCAGCTGACAGTGGTACAGTAATCGGTTCAATGATTGCGCTTACACACTGTAAACGTAAGAAAGAGACTGGCATCAATGGACCTCTTTAACTTGTATGTTTTGTTTTGCTAATGAAAGTCTTAGGGGAATTTCCAACTCTGTCTGTGTGTAAAACAGCGGATAGTGTTTGTTGCGGGCTCCGATTGGCTACTCAAAATAGATATAATTTATTTAGTGCATGCAGGGCTCCTGATTTAGTGCCATGAATTTCAAAAACTTAAAAAACAGCGCGTGATTCTAGCTTTGGTTTATTAAACCGCCCCTAAAGATACGTGTCTTTGAAGGCACATACAAATAAAATTTACCGAAGCTAGTTTTTGCTTCTAAATCATTTTTTTTTTTGCCAGCTCGATCGCCTTGACTCCCTGCATCACTGTTAATGCTTATTAGGAATTCAGCTAGCCACATTATGACAATTTAAATTACCTCACAAAAGAGACGGATGAGCAGTGATGTCCACTACATGTTCGAGCAATGTCAGTGGGCAATGGGTGCTCATGTAAAATTGTACTTATTTTTCTTAATTCTAACAGTGAAGTACACAGTCGAAGTTTTTACTCCAGAAACATTCGTAAACAGCGAATACAAGCTGACTGTTAGGATTGAAGGACAAAATAACCAAAAAACGAAAGATCAAGAATTAATCGACATAACACAAGTCACGGAGGGGTATGACTCTTACGTTTTGCAGTAATTAACTCTACATCAACACATTCTACTGTTTATACTCTCACTAAAACAGCATTTTATGTAATCGTTTTCGAGCACTTTTTTTTGTTGTTTTTGTTTACCTTTGACGGCGTTAAAAACGGATTTGAATGTCCTTTCAACACGCTTTTAGTTTCTTTATGACACTGGAAAACAGGATTCTTAATTCAGTTTTTCTTAGGTTATAGATGGTTTTCACAGTGTCGTCATCAAATTGTAAATTTAAAATGGGGCGGTTTTACGAATTCTTTTTTACATTACTTTCAAGATAAACAAATAATAAGTCTTTCTACAATTTTCCATTCCCTTAGCATTTTTCATTTCGAAAATACAGCAATTTGAACTTTCATAGAAAAAGTGAACTCCAGATGTTTTTGTTGATCTCCGGCGGCCATATTGGTGGACCAGAACGGTACACCAATGTGACGTCTCCATACACAGCTCTACAAAGATGCGTGAAACGTTTCGGCAAATAACTCAGAAACTGTGGGCCACAATGGCCTGAGACTTGGACAAATTGTTTATATGTTTGTCTTTTACAAAATTTCATTTTCTTGGCTTCTTCCACTGGACGGTTTCCAATTTATTTTTTTGTTGCGTGACAGTGAAAAGGATCTATTCGAAAACCGACAGATTTAAATGTTGCTTGTGGCTTTTCGTTTTCCTATATACATTGTCCATGGCATTAGAAAAAGGGATTAATGTTTTGTTATCCATGTCAGTATAGAAAAAGGGATTGTCGTTTTCCTATGTTATAAGAGATTCCCACCCGAGCACTTGCTAACACTTGCTGCTGTTCTAGAAGTTATTTTGTGAAATTATTTGAAAAACATCTTTTTTTTCGTTTGTCCATTTTGTTTAATTATTATTTTTGTCAGAACCCTACGCGTGATAAAAGCAGATTTTTTTGATCTTGATGTGGGATCTGTGAGGACAGTTATTTTAATGCCAAGCAGGAAAGTCGAGGCACAAGATCGAGGCTGGACACTCAAAAAGGTACTGAGATCTCTTTTCTTGTAAAAGTAGTGTTATATAGCTTAACATGAAACTAAACTGCACCTTTAATGTTAAGCGTATATATATATGTATACACTCGTTTTCAAAAAGGTTGACATTTCAAAAATATATATATCTTTTGTCTCTTTGGGCGAAAAAAAGAACAAACAAAAGGTATATATAGCTCTCTATAATATTAACAGTTTACTCTCGAACAAAATATAAAATCGTTTAATGCTAAAGAAACGGTGAAGACAACGAGATCGTTAAAAAAACAACAACAACAAAAATGGTGTAATTAGCAAAAAAAAAACTTTGCTCCTGCAGCACACTTTTTTTTTGCGTTACTAAGACGTGATACTTCCCAGTTACACGTTTTATGGAGGAAATGCTGTGTTTGTTCCTGTTCACTTGTTCTTCACTGCCGCCCATTTTGACCTTGGTGGCCGCTACCATTTCTCATTTTCTGACCGCCGCTATAAAATTTTCATGTTTTTCTTTCAACAAATTGGAAGAAAAATTGAAAATTGGTTTCCATGTTTTTTTAATTCTTATCTCGCTTTTCCACGTTTATGTAGAAATCTTAATTTAGTCTTAAAGGAACAGTATCCCGTTACTGCGCATGCACCAAACTTTGATTTTTGGGCAGGATGTCGCGAAATCAAAAGATGCGAGGAGAGTAAGAGAATCTTGAAAAATCCGTTTGCATCGCGCTTGGCCGGGTTCAATACGACACTAAAACTTCTCAGGATTATAGATCAATGATATATTGTGCCTGTTAAGTTTCGATTTGGGCAAAATCTGGATTTTTTGGCGTTACTTTTGTTGCCGTTGGCCGGAGGACCAAAAGATTGGAAGCACTTTAATGCCTATTGAAGGCTTATTTCTTCTGCTAGCTTCCATACAAGCTCAGATAATTGTGAAAGGAATACGCAGAAATGAAACAGCAACAATAAAGACTGTAAGAAAGAAACCGTTGAGACATTGATGTGACTGAGGAGATCTTGTGGAGGGGAGCTTCGTGAAGCAGAATGTTTTGCAACGACTCGTTAGTAAACTTTTAAATGAATCTCCCTACGGCCGACAAAATCAAACAAACAGGCGCTACATGTTTTGAAAAACTATTGACATGAAATCATAATATCATTTTTGACTAACCTTTGTGATGATTCGTAGCGTTGAGATTGCATTTTTATTTATGTCCTTTCAAACGTTTGAGGCTAGAACGCGAGCAAATCAGACAGATATTATTGGACTTGCAGCGATTGACCTCCGACACGAGTTTCAAATTAGAAAATATGTTTTTAAAGCGAGCGGAACGAGATTTTCGGGTCGCGAGGCGGCCCAGCTAGCGATAAAATCGCGATGAGTCTTCGAACCGCGAGCCAAATTTTTATACAAGACGAAAGACTTCTTCGAAAGTCTAAAATATTACTTGAGAATGTAAACAACAAATCTCTGTCGGCAGTGCGGTCCGGAAGGAAATCTTGTCGAGTCAATTTGACAGTTCTATTGTCTTTTGAAGAAAAAACAGATGACGCTCGCGCGTGCGCATAATCGGGACACTGTCCCTTTAAGAAAGACTGGGCTTTGGTGTTGTTGTTTTTTTTTTCTTCTCTTTTAAAGTCCCGGAGGCCATGAGATTTACCACCAAAAATACTCTCTGCCGTTCTCTTTCCGTTGCTCATCACTTAAGTTCCGTCTCCTGCACGTTATATTTACTCTGCTCGCGTTTGTTGATGTAACTAGCAACGATTTTGTAATTAAGCTTCAAACTTAGCACTGTAAATCCCTTTGTTATGAAAAAGCTGGAAAACAAAGAAACCTGTTTTTCAAAGCGACGAGAGTCATGCTATTTCCCGTCAAGAAAAACGCGCGCAGTCCATGGTCTAGAAGTGCGATTTCCCACCAAAAAAGAGCGTTATCCACCTCCCAGTCGGGCTGTTTTCCAACTTCCGCCCCGCTCCCACAGAGTCGGTACCTTTGGGTGGGGGTAGCAATGGGGCTCGGCGAAGTGCGCGCGTGGAGCTCCGCTACAAATGATTGGTATTAAAAACATTTGTTTCGTTTATATATCATCAGATAGAAGTCACAAAGGGGGGCCAAACATTTACTGCTCAGTTCAACGACCGTAGTATTCCTACCTGGCCGTTGGACAACTCTTACTCTGGTAAGTCGGCGTAATTTCCTAGTGTGTCAATTCGTTCAAAGTAAAGCCCTTTTTTTGCAAAATTTGTTCAGGTAAGTTGCAAAAGCACACTACAACTGTTAAAAATAACATCAAATTAATTCTAAGCGAGCAATTTGGCATTTTCATATTTCATTACAACTGAGCAATTTGAGCGCTTATTGGTGGAGGGCTATTTTCTGTGAGTGTATAGGCATGGAAATGACGTCATTAATGGAGTTATTTGGGTTTTTCCCTGTGCTTTGTGCGTGCGTGAGTGTGTGTTTTTTCTTTAATACCCCGGAAAAGACGTTTTAAATGTTCAAGAACATTGTAAAAACCAAATCAACATCCAGAAAATTTACAGTTAACCGGACGTCTGTGTCCCTGGTTCCACATGATTTTGACATCAGACGGCTGTGACCTGAATGAACATAATTATTTGAAAATTTCCGCCTCGTAAAGGAGGTTGTGTTTTCCTTAGCTAGGCCGATTATTTGCTGAACATTCTTTCTAGGGTTTTGTTTACAAACCAACTTCTAGTAGTTGAACGCGACAGTCAACCGTTTTCACGGTAAAATTAATTTATCCACAATCTAAGCCGCTAAATCTAAGGATTCAAAAATGGCTGGGGACGAAGCGCTTGTAATGACTTCTCTTGTGATTGTTCTCGCCGTATTTTTGCGAAGGAGAAGGAGTTTCACTCAGCGAATGAGGCTTATGTCTTGCTGTTTTTAAAGCGAGACGGACGAGGCGTAAATGGTAGAGAAACTACTTGTGATGGGTTGTAATGCGGTAAATGGTTCTACATACCGGCGCTCTGAAAACAAGGCGATTGTCTGGCAAATATTATTCCCAGATTATTTTGCAGGCGTCTGTTACTACGCCAACCTCGTCCCCAGGGCTTTTCCTTAAAAAAATGGGAAAAGCCTTGGGGACGGGGTTGTCACTACGTGCGACCCAATTGTCTGGCTACGGCATTAATCAGGACAAGTTTATACCATCTCGCGAGGTAGTGTAACCCTGCTTGAATTTCCAGTCGTAAAGGCGAGAAATCCCTTGTTTTTGATTGTGAAAACAGCTTGCCTTTTTAACTTAAGTTAAAACAAGAGGAAGTGTTTTCACTTTATTTCCGGAATTAATTTCCCTGCTTTATCTTTTTTAAGTCAAAATTGTCCTAGTAACAGAAAACACAACCAATAGGAAACAGAGATTTCTGATGATATCAAGGGAATTGGCATTCACGTCAGGTTACTCGTGTTGTACTAGGAACCTATCCGGGGGCTAGTCACAAACTCATTCCTCTTTGAACCGACTGGTCAACCTAGACAAATAAATAACAAAAAAGGGAGAAACCGTAGGTTAATGGGCAAATAAACCAGGATAAGAACATTTGAACATTCTAACTAAATAAAGTTAAAATACAGTAAGCACTAGTTGATGTAGTTGAGGACTCATAGGGCTCCCCCCCCCACCCCCGCCCCCATTGTGGTTCTCAATGTAATGTATTCCTTGACTATAAATAACATTAATAGTTGCAAAAATGGTTATTGATACTAATCTGTGAAATGATAAGATCGCGCAATAACGAACAGCTTTAAATTCTTTCTCTATATAAATAAATATGTTTCTGTGTTTTGGTTTATAGCAAGCGCAACTACCTCAACTCAATCAACTGAAGCTTAAAGGTTAGCGGAGTCGAAATCAACCAGCAAAGAGCAATGGGATTGTTATAAAAACGAACCACAGCATCTAAAATGATTGAATAAAAGATTGTTAACATTTGGCGGAGCTCAATTTTTGTGTGTGCTCTTTATTGTGCATAATGCTTAAGAACAAGGAGGCAATTTTTAAATTGTTTATTTCTAATTTACACTTAAAATATTTCAAGTTGACTGAGTATTATGGATGTGACAATGGCCCCTCTCTCATCCTTATAATCATCAACCTTTGTTTGGAATCAGTATATTCAAAATCGGTCAACTTCGTATGGAGGGGGGGACAACAAAGACGTGATGAAAACGATTGAAATAAAATATAACAGATCGTCAAAGGTAAAGCAAAGAATTCCACAAAACTCGTTGTCGTGTAAAATTTGATGTTTCTATTAAAATGTTTTACGTCGGAATGCAGAAAAAATAATCCCTTAAGGCTTTTTTATCCCTATTTTATCACGGTATTACTTTCACATGAGTGGTGTTCGAGTGAGCCGTAAGAGTACTGGCGCATCAGGGGTGTAGCCAGCAATTTTGGATACAGGGGTTTTTAAGGTGATATTGTCGTGAGAGGCATTGGGTGAGTGTGCATGTCCTCATACGGCAATTTCTTGATTCTAGCTACAAATTTCTAATAATGTCAGTACCAAATGTTACTAGAATTTCTGAGAGGGGTGGTAAGTCAAGCTTCCTACAGAGATGGTTAAAAGTGCAAGTTGTTCGAGTTGTGCGTTATATTTATCTCAGGCCGCAATCTTATGCACTTAAGTGGATATGAAGAGATTCGCTGTTTTAAATTTAATTCAGTTAGTTACAACCAGGAAATGACCGAAGGGAACTACGTATATACAAGTAAACTTGATCAATCAAACAAAAGTTTTTTGGCGTAGAAAAATGTGTACTTTCTGGTTCCATTTTACGAAAAAAAAAAAAAAAAGAAATTATTTCACAGAGGGAACGGATGAACTATTTTGTGACTGTATCAGATCAATGACCATGCTGGTCACCTGACAGCTAAGATAGCATTTCTCTACAATACTTATGTACCTATGAACGCTTAAAATCGATTATGTGTTAATTATTTTGCACTTATTAAATAATCATAATATTATAGCTAAGGAAATACAATCTTGCACTAATCAGAATGAAATCAAGAAGAGTAATCGTGAAAAAGGAAAACGCACAGTCAATGATTTAAATAATATTGAGTTTGAGCCCTTGCTCCTAGTAATAGCTCCAAGCAAGAGAGGATAAAGGGGACAGAGAAAGCATCCCCCATACACACCCTATTCCAAAGGTAATTCGTCTCGAGTTATTTTTAACACCACAGATCTCAAGGGGGATTAGACAACAGCCAATCACATAGCGCGAATGTGTCCCGCGTAGATGACCACGCTCAGAGGCACGCGTCCTTCACGAATTGGAACAAAATGGCGGAAGATGAGGAGAGCGATATTGCTATTGGTTTTGTCGACGAAAACGACTACAGAGAGATTTCTGCTAAAGCTGTGTCAGCGAAACGGAAATTAAAAAAGAATCGCCCTTCCTCTCTTGTATAAGAGCTAACAGTACAGCAGGGAAATCCTTAACACACTGAATATCATTTATAATTTACAGTTTGAAGAGAGCAATTTCTGGTTTGATATTAATTCTTTTATTAGTCTTTTATTATTCAACAATAACAATTGGCGTCCTACTTGCTTAATTGTACAAACGACCGGTTTCAATAGACCGGCGAAATTTCTCATTTTATTGAAGCACTGAGGTTACGACAACTTCGAGTTAAACTGATTTCACGGGTTGTCAAAGAGTCCAGCGATTCCTTTTTCCCAGGTAAGCGCAGATTAATTTCGCTTCAATATTCAGGAATGCTCTCGATCTCTTTACGCTTTCATTGCCTTTCGCCCGACATGTTTTGCACGGCGCTTAGTCATGCGAAACCTCCACGAAACAACCACGCAGCGCGCGAGGTAACTTTATACCGATTCTAAAAATAACTCGAGACGAATTACCTATGGAATAGGGTTTGTATGGGGGATGCCTTCTCTGCCCCCTTTATCCTCTCTTGCTCCAAGATGTTCCTGGGTCTTGGTTAGTCTTCGATTCCAATTTGATGATTTGCAGACTCGAAGCTGGTGAGGCCAAGTTTAGACGCCCTGACCAAGGTTCTCATGGTTGTCCTCGGGATTCATTTATTAGCAGTGGTTACTCCGTTTCTCTCTTTGTTCTCTCTTTTCGCGTACCTGCTTCAAGTGATTTTGCTTATGTTTCTTTTCCATCTTCCTCCATACCTGACTAATCGAGCGATAGAACTCATCAACCAAGCGTTTGAGGTCTCTGCGGGTTCTCTCCAGGTCTTCTTTGTATGGACCTGAAATTGCAACACAAAGTACAAACTAAAGGTTCAAAGCCCAAGTCTATAAAGTGGAAATTGGAAACATTTCTTACCAAAGGTAACCATAAAAACAAGACAGATAAGACATATATTTCATAGGAATTTTCAGGTGTCTTTATAGCAACATAATCAGGTTTATCTTTGCCCACAACACAGTGCGTGTAGTTAGAAACTGCGCTTGCAAAAATATTGAGCAGCTTGGAACATTTCGCTGGATATGACGAAGCTATCCTTGACTGTAAACTATAGCTTTTCGAGACGCCACTAAAAGCTATCCGTTATAGTGTGAGCATATAACCTAAAGGTGGATTTCCACTGTAACGTAATTTTTCCGTGCGTACAGATGTAAATCTTACGCGCGTAAATAAAATAGAGAAATTGTGTGGAATGTCAGGCGTATACGTAAAAGTTGAACTTCGCGTGGCCTTTCATACATTGCCTCTATTTCATTTACGTACGTCAATTTTACGTACGTTAATCGCGAGGAAAAATTACGCGACAGTGGAAATCAACCCTTAGGTAGAAGTAGAGTAATTCATTTTACGCTCTTGCCCCGAAGGGGGACACGGTGAAGATTCTTACTCCTGGTGTTCTAAGCATAAAAACCCGCGAGTTGTAGAACTTGTGTAAGAAGAAAGCGGGCGTAAGGCCATTAGTTAAATATCTAAAAGCAAATGTGAAATTTCCCCCGAGAGCCATCGATGTAGTGTTCTTATAGAAATATATCACACTTACATTGCGAAGATTTACGTTTACGGTAGAGGACTTGATACAATAGACCGCAGACCAACAAAAAACCGAGGGAACACAGGCAAGAAAATAGAATGTACTCAAAGAAAGGACTGGTGGGGTCAAAGAAAAGAGACTCTTTAGACTCCATTTGGCTAATTTCCTGTCAAAAATAATTAAAAACAAAATTAGTAAAAGGGTTGAAATTAACATTTATTGGATGAAGTTGACTTCAGTACTGTGTAAATCTAAAGAAGACTAGAACAGGTTGATAATACACTGTGACTGTTTTATGACGTCATTGTAGTTATTTTTTTCTCTTGTGGATACCATTTGGTATTTATTGCATTTGGCATCTGTATGTTTCTGTTTTGTATAATTCTAAATACGGAAGGGGGAGGGGATTTTGCCTTCGATTAGTGATCGAAATCTTCTGTCCACTTTAGTGTGGCTGCCAAAGCCGCCGATTTGTTTTTCGCAATGTTATTGACCTAGATATTTCTTGTCATGATTGGAAGATTTAAACTAATTGACGGAATGTAACTCTTGCTCATTTTTTTCAGCGCTAACTATCTAGAAAAACTAAGCCGCTGAATTAACTGATCAGAGATGGATAAATATTGAAAAGAACAATGACAAAAAAGGCCTTAGTTGTAAACATGATTTGTACGGTTCTCTTAAACAAGAGTGTTTTTTTGTTATTTTCACAATACACAATGGTAACTCCTTTATTTATATTTTTTCTCAACTATTAAGTCAATCAAACAGTAAGTGATCTCTTAAAAGTTCACGCTTTCCAGGCATTTATCTAAGGAGTTCCAAATCTTAGTTTCTCTTGGGGGAAAGGATCTTTGGCCTTTTCTGATCTCGGAAACCGGGCTGAAGTATCTCATAAAATGGTCCCGGTCAAGCGGGCTCATGTGAAGTGTATCAAAAGTTTGAGTTTCAAACTTTGCACAACAGAGTGCAACAGGGTGTGCAAACGGACGCAACATGTATCATCCAACAATGTTGCGTTCGTTTGCAAGGAGCTGTAGACAGTAACAGCATTAGTTATAAAGAGCATTTTAGTAACCTGCAGACCAGGGATTAAAAACGTGTTGAATTCCCTGTTTTCTCATTCAGCGTTCATTCACTAATGCTTATTATTATTTAATAACTGTGACCCAACCTCCTCATCTTCACTGCTTTTAAGAAAATTGGTCTGCACATTGTCATGTCTTATCATCTCCTGCAGTTTGGAAGCGAGTTTATATGCATCTCCCTGTAGAATGACCCCATGGTTAATATTGGCTTCCAGAAAAGCTGCAATTTCGAACCAAGTGCCATTAAACAAGTCTTTCCGCTTGACTGGGATGTACATGTCAACAACCACATACACTCTTTTTTTTTTATAAGAATATTGTTTTCCCGGGCCAGGCTGAATATTCTTATTTTTCCGCCGATTTTAGGCTGTAAATATTCTTGTATTATTCTTAATAATAGCTTATGACATTTCCGTTTTAGAATATATTAAGGTATCAATTATAGTTTTGTTAAATATAGTTAGCTAGTTTTGCCGTTTAAAGAAAGGAATAAATTGAAAACGTATATTTGTATTGTATTTACAGATTTTCACCACACGAAATTATCCTTTTCAAAATCTCAGCCTGGAGTTTATTCTTAAAGTATTCTTAAGATTTCGCAAATTTCAGCCTCGATATTCTTATAAAATATATTCTTATAGAAAAAAAAGAGTGTAGTCCACCTCGCCTTCCTTGAGCGACTTCACAAGCATCTCCACGGTTGAATATGTACTAGCTAAGAGAGAAAATAAAATTACAGTCGGATTATAAAGAAGCCATAAAAAACTTTGCGAATGGAAAAAACACCTGGATATCTGAATCAGTTGTACTCATTTCATCCTATAACACTTTCTCTGCGTAATTCTTTCATCTGACTTTTTCTGACATTTTTCGGCGTTTTTTTCTCATACGTTCTTGTATAGTTTATCGACCTTTGACACTACAAGGGAAAAAACCTCGCTATGCTGCTTCAATGATCACGTTCATATGGGATGTCATTATAGCCTGAAGGGGACAGACGGTGTTTTCCGTTTTATCTCTTTGTGCCCTCCTTAAGGGGAGGACAAAAAGATATTTATTTTATTTTAAAGTACAGCACAGAACTGTTATTTGTGTAGCTACTATTCGAAGACTTGTCGTTGAACACTATCCTCTTATCGACTTGGAAACAGTAAAGCCAGCTTCAACTTTTTACAAAATTTAACTAAGTTTTGTAGGTTCAAGAACCTAGGAGTATAACTTCTTCCGCCTGGATGGGATACTAGCAAATTTCAGGGATACTCTATGTACACAACTGGGTGAAGAGAGACAAAATTGGGCAAACGTTTCTCGTCTGAAAAAAAGCGACCCCAAGGCTGAACCTCTATAGATACAAAGATGGAAGTGTATACATGTAGATAATTGGCCAACACGCCTCCAATAAAAGTTTAAACAAAAACCTAAAATTACTGACAAAATGTAAAAATGGCTCTGAAGCCACTGAACAGATATGCAGTGGCTATCATAAAGGTAATCTTAATTCCTAAATGATAACGTTTTGGACAGCGATGAATGTTGTTGAATGGTGTAAGTACAAACTGGATCCAAAATGTAAGGCAGCTTCACTCAGCTCTATTGGGAGCACAGGCAGCCCAAGCTCACGTCACGTGAAAGGATTAGATTAATTATTAGCGGAGTGCGAGCCGGGACGTGACTGTTCAACGAAAGCGGTATTGGGTTACATGGCGGCCGTGAATTTATAAAGGATTTGTATGGGAATCCACGTTATAGATTTAGGAAGATAAATACTCGTAGAAATTCTCAATAAAAAACGTCTTACCTTATTTACATGGTGTGTTCTTGCTTGCTGTGTGGTTATTTTCCCGATCCGGTGCGATTTTAGCGATTTTTTTCATTTCTGAGTTTCCACTACTAAAGAGAGAGCAAGGCCGAACACTTCCAATCTGGACAGCCCGCCGAACGAAGCCAAAAATTCCAGGTTAAAATATCCCCACGGCCAAAATTCCACCGCAGAATCCAACTACAAAGGTTAAACTTTCATTTCAACTTTCTAGCCACGCAATCGCATCCCTGCGAGCGACGCCAGGCGGCAGTTTGTTTCCCCGATGAAACAGTAAAACGTTGGGCCAGAACCGCGTACAAATCCACCACGACACAACGACCGTTGAAATCGGCTTGGTAACCTCGTCACGTTGACAAACAAAGACTCACGGGGTACACTAACGCAAATTGTCAACATGAATTTCTGTTCTCATCCTGGGTCCCCTCGGGTCGAATCGACAATACCGCATTGTCTCAATCGACCAATCAAAATCGCGCCGTGTCGTGTGACGAAAGTTTATGCAAACTCAGAGGAAACCCAGGGGGATAAATACGTGGAGCTGGAGATTTTATTCTTATTACGTGGAGATTTGTTTCTTATTACGATGTGATCATCTGGAAATTCAGGACAGATTTCTTTAGCGTTCAGTCATGTAAGTCTAATGTTTATTTCGTTTATTTTTTATTCAAGCGTTTGAATCTTCAAGTTCAGGAATGATATTTTGGCACCTCGTTGTCTTTGTAATCTACGAGCTAGCGATGGAAGTGACATTCATCCCCCGGGGGGGTACTCACTAATATGGGCTATATAGGTATGTGCGGCCCCAAAGGGTAGGGTTTTTCAGCCGTTTTGGTCATAAATTGGGTATCGATTTTGCCTATTTTGCCGCCATTTTGGTCATAAATAGGGAAACTATTTTTGCACTGTAGTCTTGAATGCACTTTTTTAGAAGAAGCTATTTCCTTATCATGTCCCCCTAACCTAATAAAAGCAGATAAACATTGCCTTTAACATTGGTCTGAACTAGGGAAATAATTATAAGGCAGGTCTGAAACAGGGTATTGATTTAAGGGTCAGGTCATAAATAGGGTATCAAATTTTTGGTTAGGTCATAAATAGGGTAGGGAAAATCGCAGATTTTGGTCATAAATAGGGTAAGGGTTTTGGGAAGCGGGCCGCACACCCCTACCCAATTTTTCTGCGAGTACCCCCCCCCCGGGCATTCATCCACTCTTAATTTTTCAACTTTAGGGTGAAGCTCAACGAGGACCAGAATACTATAGTAAAGTTTGCCTCCGAAGGCCATAATTTATCAATTACTGGCCAGGCTGGAGTCGGGAAAAGCGAGGTGGTGAAAACGATAATCGGAACAGCGAAAGCACGTGGGAAAAAGGTAGCTGTCATATGTTCTAGCGGCATTGCTTGCCAAGTATACGATCGTGGCGAAGCGTCAACAGTGCACTCATACTACGGCCTTTCGACTGCGGAGTTGCCTTGGCGGGAAGTTATTGATCGATCTTGCGAGAACTCTTTAATACGAGACAGAATAAAGGCCATCGATGTAATCATCTGGGACGAGGCGAGCATGTCCTCTCAGAGGATGTTTGAACTTGTCAATTTTCTGCATCACGAATTAGCGACAGATGATTGCAAGAATCTCCCTTTTGCAGGAAAGCAAATCATACTTATTGACGAATTCCTTCAGCTGCAACCTGTACCAAATCTCTTTGATGAAGGCCACTTCATGTTTTTTTCCCCGTTGTTTGACTTTGCTGTGGCTCATCGTTTCGGTTTAACGGTGGTTATGCGACAGCAAGACCCAGCATTTTTGTCCGCTGTATCAGAAATCAGAGAAGGAAATTGTTCGTTGGCCACAGAACATTTTATCACCTCTTTGCAAAGGGAATTACCCTGGCAACTCCTTCAAAATGCTACACATATTTATTTCAGGAAGGTTCATGTTGACAATTTGCGTTAGTGTACCCCGTGAGTCTTTGTTTGTCAACGTGACGAGGTTACCAAGCCGATTTCAACGGTCGTTGTGTCGTGGTGGATTTGTACGCGGTTCTGGCCCAACGTTTTACTGTTTCATCGGGGAAACAAACTGCCGCCTGGCGTCGCTCGCAGGGATGCGATTGCGTGGCTAGAAAGTTGAAATGAAAGTTTAACCTTTGTAGTTGGATTCTGCGGTGGAATTTTGGCCGTGGGGATATTTTAACCTGGAATTTTTGGCTTCGTTCGGCGGGCTGTCCAGATTGGAAGTGTTCGGCCTTGCTCTCTCTTTAGTAGTGGAAACTCAGAAATGAAAAAAATCGCTAAAATCGCACCGGATCGGGAAAATAACCACACAGCAAGCAAGAACACACCATGTAAATAAGGTAAGACGTTTTTTATTGAGAATTTCTACGAGTATTTATCTTCCTAAATCTATAACGTGGATTCCCATACAAATCCTTTATAAATTCACGGCCGCCATGTAACCCAATACCGCTTTCGTTGAACAGTCACGTCCCGGCTCGCACACCGCTGATAATTAATCTAATCCTTTCACGTGACGTGAGCTTGGGCTGCCTGTGTTGGGAGTAACGTAATTGATTCCTTTGAAATGTTGTTAAGGTGGCTCGACTGGATTTTTTGGGGTTGATACCTCCCAAGTTTGAGCATTAACTACGTCGGCATGAGTAAAGATATGGAAAAAAGGTTACCACAACTGTATTGTATAAAGATGACAATTTCTTATGATCTGGATTTTATTGCAATCGGAGTCGCCATGACAACGTAATGATGCCATTACGTTTTTCATTTATCGCTGTGTTTCTCTGTACCATGAGTTTTTTTGAAGAAATCGCCTAAGGGAGTATGCACCTGCCATAATCGCCTCCATTATGGCAAAGTTCTACCAGTAAAAATCACCGACAAGCCAAAGTTCGTCGCTTTCTTGGCATTTGTTTGTACGAATGCTTCATTTATCGCTCAAATTTCGTCTTTACGAAATGTCTCGAAACGAGACACCATCTTGGCTCCGGGCGCAAAACTGTGATTAGCCAACTGAAGGATATTCCGAGTTACGGGAGCCAATCAAAACGCGCGAAAATTGCTATCCACTGATTTGGTGAATACTAATGTTAGATGGTGTTAAACATTCCTGAAAAATGTTGGACGGTTTTGGATGGGGTTTCAGTGACGTTTTTGGATGTTATTGAATGGTGTTGAATGCTGCTGGATATTGTTTGATGGTGTTGGATGGTGGTCAACAGTGTTGAAGGTATTGGATGTTTGTGGACTTTGCTGGGCGAGTTTGGAAACAACTAGAAGCAGCTCTCGTCTGTAAAATATTTGATACTATGATCTCCCGTATTCTAACATACATTGTAACAGTGAAACTTGGGGTGTGTATGCCAAACCAGACTTTAAGACCTGGGACGGCTCACAAATCGAGAAGGCACACCTTCAATTTTGTAAACGATACTTGGAGGTAAACAACAAAGCTTCTAATATAGCTTGTAGAGCAGAGCTTGGTCGTTTTCCTTTAAATATCACTATCATTCAAAAAATTCTCAAATACACTTTGTGTATACAGTCTAAAGATAAGGAATCTCTCGTCAAACAAGCTTTTTTAATGTCATTCGACTTTCAACATTCTCAAAAACTTGAATTTTATAGATCTTTTAAACCGATTATACCTCCTCTAGTTACTTAGACTCAATAACAGGGACAGCTGGGAGAAGGGCTTTAGTAAAACTACGAATAAGCAATCACAAACTAATGATAGAGATAGGCAGATATAATCAGACTACGCAGGATAATAGGCATTGCCCTTTTTATGGATGCAATGTAATAGAAGACGAAGTTCACTTTCTTTTTCAATGTCCTACATACTCTATGATTAGCAATAAATTTTACTATAAAGTCAAGACTCTCATTCCAAATATTACCCAATTACTTATAAACGGTTTGATCAATGAACTGATGAATTCTTCTAATTACAGCTAATTGCTTTATCAATATACAATTCATAAAATATATTTCAGCTTGTTTTGATGTTCGTGACCTATTATTATCAAAGTAACATAATTGACCTGTGTTGTAATTTTGATTCCTAAACGTAGCTTTTGCAATACTGTATGTGCTTGTATGGTCATGCAAATAAAGCTGGTTGTTGGTTGTTGTTGTCGGACAGTGTTGCGTGGTTGGACGGTAGTGAACGCTGTTGGATGGTTTGCAACGTTTTTTGATGGCGTTTGACTTTGGTGGATGGTTTTGAAACGGTTTTTGATCGGTGGTGCATGGTATAGGATGGCGTTTGATTGTGTTAGATGGATAGTGGTGTGCTGGACGTTCTTAAACGGATTTGGATGGTGTTGGACAATGTTAGATGTTAGCTGATGGTGTATTCTCGGGGAAACTTTTTTTGTTGTTTTTTCATTTTGGACTTTTTTAAACACGCCCTAAGTGAGCACTCCAGTCAAAATTCCACACAGGGAAGCCAAATGGCTCACGTACTTAGCTTCAATTTGCTACTTAAAGGTCCCAATGCCAGCTTTTCTTCCGTTGAATTGGTAACAGCTGCTGCCTGTAAATAAAAAAGCAACCAATTTGCAGACTGCCAATTCGAAAATGTAAATAATATGCTGCAGCTGCTTATACTAAGAAGGATTACAAATAGTTCTTTTAACGTGGGCAATTAGTGAAACTTCATTACAAATCCAAAGTACCCAATTAAAATCAGAGTGCATGGCCGAGATTTTAAGAATGAGATGTACAACTGGCTAGCGTTGTGCAAATAAACTCGAGGTTGTAACAGACTCGGAGCATTTGATGCATATCGACCCCAATATATTGTTGTCTCGAAGCGAATATGAGGAAAACCATGTCAGTAAAATTCGCACAACTATGGAAAATTTTGCAAGTGTTGCAAAAGGAATAAAGTTCATGAAAAATTCTGAATAGATATCTGTTCTAGTTAGCCCTGTGTTAAAGGTATCGAAACTTTCTAATAGCTTAATAGCCTCCCACGCAGACGTTTTTAGGGGTTCCTGACGCGTTCCTTCCCCACTAACGTCTGCTGATTTGAGCGGAAAAAACGAAGACCAATCACAGTAGACTTCCACATCCGGGAAGTGCACTCTGGACCTTGAGAAATCTCGCACTTGACTTAGCTCCAGAAAAGATCAGAAAGGTCTCATGAAAGGTGAAGACCTTAAAGTTTTAGAACAAACTACTCAGTTAACTCACAAGCGTTCGTACTAGAGGCTACCCTCACAATCTCATGAAATAAAAATTACCTCGGAGGTTAAGAATTTGCTGAACGGAAGTCGGCTTTACTACAAAACAGTAAAGTGTGAAAAAAATTCTGCCTTTGTTCAGTTACAAGGTAACCCTGTCATTGCATCACCCAAAGAACAACTTTATGAGCAGATGACATTTAATCCAGCCTTTACTGAGAGAAATATACAAAAAGCCAACGCATATCTCCTAGATTCTTGTCTGGAGCAAAAATCTTTACTCACATATGACACTCTACCTAGCTTGTACGTATGTGTTTGGCTTGTCAACACTTTGACTTCAATATCGCCGATTAGATCTCTGATAATCTGCATGCGATCTCCAGCTGATATTTGCGAACAATGGGAAAGGAATTTATCTTTCGCTTCAGCAGACATTAGTCGGGCAGGAACGCGTGACGAACCCCTTAAGAACGTCTGCGAGGGAGGCTAATAGCTTGATGGCTGTGCTAGGTTTCCTCTCTGCTGACTTCGCAGTCATGGTTCACTAGATGATTCGTCTTTATTGTTAAGATTTCCTCTGACCGAGGCGGGTATGCAGCTGCAGCTTCTTTGCTAAGGTTTTACGGACACTGTGAATGTGTTAAATATTTTGTACTTTTAGGTTTTACATTCCCAAACTCAATTTGAATTGAGTTATGGTGCGTTATTTTTATAACGTTAAAATTGTATTTAATACGGCTAGTAACCTTATTTCCACCACCCATAGGACCTCCTGCTTCTGTTTGAATCACCATAACAGTCAAAGCTGCGGATATTTCACCCATCAGTAGTGACAAAAGTACGACACTGGAAAGAAGCCATACAATGGCAAAAGCTTTAGCAAGGTTGGATTTCGGGCAGCGATCACCATAACTACAGAAGATAACAAAGGTGTTAGCACAGATAGAACTAAATAACGCTTTAAACATGACATGTGACTATTAGTTGGCATTTTGTTTGAATTTCTCTTGGAAATTTAAGCTCAAATCTGTATTTTGGAGTAAATTGAAGCCACCGTAATGTTCATCTGTATTTATTCTAATTAGTATCGAGATTGATACTGGGATGCTCAAATTTTCATAACAAGAACGGCCACACAGCGGTCCGCCTGTGGTGTGAGACAATTAAATCCAACAAATTTATTATGTTATGATAACATTATTTTTAATGAATACAAACTGCTTATTTTTCATTGTTAGGTAGTTGCCCTTCAAATAGAGTACCTCCCCTTTTTATAACCTGTGTGGGCATTGGGGTGCATATAAATATGTTTTGGGTTTCACTTCACCATTCACTATTCACACTATGAGCTGCCACTAGGAGGTGAGTCAATGGTGCCTCCCAAATGGTGTATTTTCTCTGCGTCCAGTTTCTGTGCATTTGCTTTTTAGCGTGGAGAGATATCGGCCCTCTGGGATCACTCTTCTTTTGAAACCCTACCCCTCGATCTGCCCAACATGGGTGGCTCTACCAAGATTCATTGGCGCCAGGCGACGCAATATGACACGCAAACCGCCTCAAAGATTGTTACCCGTTTACAGAGGGAAAATATTACACATGTCCTCTACTTACCCCACCGTAGTCATGGTTATAAAGGCCCACCAGAATCCCTCGTAGGCTCCTTTGGAGAAACATTTTGGTAACTCACCAGAATTTCCTTTAGTTTCCTAAAACAGAAATCATTATATAAGAAGAAAAACCATGAAAGAATGTCCAAACAGGGGAAGAGGCGTGCTAGTCCGGAACTCTCGAGTTGAAGTCGACCTCCCCAGCCCTCATCGTTGAACCCGCATTTTTCACTCTACACTCTACACAAATGCTTTGCCTTCTGCAAGGAAGGATTCTTAACATGTTCAGAAATCTCGCCCGTCAAATTTCGCACGACTTACATTCAGACTGTTTCACAATGATTTTAACCACTGGTTTTTACTGTGATTCCCGGACTCATAATGTTCGGAAAGTTCGAGTGGTCAAATACATATTTGGTTATCGTCAAATAAAGGCCGCTGATCGAAAATATTGCAACAACCAAAGATGGCGACGAAACCTCAAAGAAATAAACTTTCGAACAAGAGGTTTTGGAGACAATTTAGATGATTTTTGGCCGAGATATTGTAGAGCGAAGGTCTTGGATTTAAGCCGTGTAGTAAATTCGTTAAACGTGGCTAGGAAGAATATGCTTTTTTTGTGGACAAAAAAACTCACGATAGAAAGACAAGACTTGAAGATTTCATCGCAACCTAAGAGAGTTCCCCAGCGAAATTGTCATTAATTACTGAAGAAAAGAGGTTAATCGAGGTGGCGGTGCTCCATTTGCAATAGAATCATATGGAAGACGCAGGTAATTTTTTCGTATTTTTATGTCCATTCTGGGAAGCTCGAGATTTGAAGGTAGGCCGAGTTTAAGTTTGTCAAAACTAAGGTCTAAATAACTCAACCTTTCAGTCTCAATCGCAACCTAGTGTTGAGGTATATCGCACGGCTTGCTGTATCGCAAATGTTTTTCCTTTTTTACATTTCTTTGTAAAATGTTCATTGTTTTCTGTTGGTATTTTTTCTAAGTGTCCACTGCTACCGCGCGTGCGTGAAATTAAATTCTGGCCATATCCAATGTTTCATTTTAATTATTTCTTTCCAGTTGACATTGAGATATGAATTTGGCCGAGGAGTAAAACATGGGTGTCTTTATTAAAAACAATTCATGTTCAGTTAATCTTCAAGTTGCTTGCTAGTATCTCTTGGTATAAAGTATTAGCAACTAAAATGGAATAATAGGAATATGATGATAATTCTTTTTGGTATCAATCGATGCTAATTGAAGGTTTCGATTCCTCCCAAGAAAGGTTCATTTGGTATAAAGAATTAGCGAACTAAAATGATAAGAATAGTGGAGGTAGGGTGGCCGAGCAGTTAGAGAGCTGGAATTGCAGTCCCGAGTTCAAGTCCCGCTCTGACTGTTAGCTGGATTTGTTCTCGGTAGTCCCGAGTTTAAATCCTCGGCCACGCTTGTAAATAACCAACTGGTTTGCCTCCTGCCAGTTGGCCTTTTTTAACCCTGTTAAGTTTCATTTGAAATATTTGTTTCAGACATTTGCTTGGCCCCACTGGCACAAGTGCTACAAATACTGCCGAGGGTAAAACAAGGGATTATCATAATTATACTTATCATCATCATCATCATTATTATTTTTATTATTATTATTATTATTATTATTATTATTATCATTATCATCATCATCATCATCATCATCATCATTATTATTATTATAGATTGCTTGGTTTCAATCGATGCTAACTGCGGGTTTCGGTTCTTCCAAAGAAAGATTCATTCAGAGGACAGAACGAAGACAGAAAAAATTACTCTGCTTCAAAGAGTCATCATAGCTAGGATTTCAATATGGAATCAACTCACCAAAAACCAAAGAATCACTCCAGCTGCGTACATTGCCAGCAGACAAACAGTAAAGAACGACCATTTGTCAAGAAATGAGCCAGTTATGACCTCTTCATAATAACCCTGACTGGACTTATGATTTCTTCGCCTTATGACCACAACGCCAGGTACCTCTAATATAGCGACAAACTTGCTAAATTCGCTGCCTCTCGGAGTTGTCACAGAAACAGGAAAAGTAAGGCTTGATTCTCCTTCGTCGCTTTTGGAAAAATTTAGCACTGTTTCGCCATACTCTTTACAGAAGCCGCATGATTTTTTTATATTTCCAGCGATAAGTTCGGTCAGCCCACGAGATCCACCATTGTCCAGCGGTGAAGGGCGTGCGGTCACTGAAAAGTATTGAGGACAAACGCAAGTTCCTATAGCGAAAAAAAAAAAGGACAAACAAACAACGGCCAAAAACTGGCGTACATTAGTTTGAATACGACTTGAGTTTCATGAACGTAACTATTAACTGTCCAATTAATAATACTTATATCAATACTTTTATTAATACTGGTATTTATACTATAATTTATTCAATTTTTCATAACCAGCTGGCGTTTTGCTCCCTCCAATATAACAGTGTCAGTTCTGGCAATTCTCTGTTTTCATTGTCACGCCATCAAAAATAAAAATGCAGACTATTCAATACCGAAAGTCTAGAATCTGGGAAATGAAAGAAGATAAATATGCAAAGAGCCTTGCCAAGAATCATTTCTGTGCAATATTTAGTTTCCGAAATATTCGGAAAAACCTTTTTACCCAAATTTTTAAAGCTTTGTATGGAGACGTCATGTTTGTGTCCCTTTCAGGGGTACAAATATGGCCATCATTAACTAACAGAAACATCTGATTTTGATTTCCCCTACTAATGCGTGAATTCTTCGCTTGAGGAACTCATGAAGATAAAAGTAATGTTTATTCTCAGACAGGGAACGTTTAGATAGCAAAATCTCCCAAAATCGGTAATGTTTTTACCCTACATAAGACCTTTTCCTGGCCTTCAGCTGAATGCCGCCTCACGCAAAAGCCTGGAAAATCAAGCGTCCTCTATCGCAAAACGGAGAACCCTTTCAAGCCGAAAATTTGTTTGCATAAAGGTGTTTAGGTGCTGTAATACTTCATGAAAGTAGAAAGTCAGAACAATCGATAGTTTCTTAGTTTGAATTTTCGTGACGTCATGTGAAAAGCAAGACAAGCAAGCCAAGTACAAGTTATCGACAAAGGAAGGGGCTGAAACCGGTAAGGCCTGGGGATGAGGTTGCGTTAGCTCAGTTGTTTTGGCAGGTCTAGAGGAAATGACGAGAAATTTCACCCGTTTCACGAAGAAGAAATAGCCAAATTTTGGCCTATAAAATAGAAAAAAACAGCAAAATATATCTCACCGGAAATTAACCATATTTGAAAAATATCCGTTAGAGTAAAGATCCCTTTACATGTCTAGTTGACTGTTTTTGAAAACCAGCCTAAAGAAATTTGCCATCATTTGAGTAAAAAGGCCTCAAAAAGCGGGTTTGTTCGGCCGATAATCTCCAAAATCACACTAACGAATTCGAAGGAAAGGGAAAGGAGAAAACGAAAGAGCGAGGAGGTAGAAAGTCGTAGAGGAGAAAAAAGCAATGGTTGCTCAATAACTGTTTGACACAAAAGGTCCATTTGGCGATAACGTTTCAAAAAATCCAGCTAGATGTTTATCCTGAGGAAACGAGGAGCAAACAAACGGGAACCTGTTTTAAAAGAGGAATTATTTTGAATGAACGGTAAAACAACTGCAGGACTCGGCTTCTACTGGATGGGAATATGGGCAAATGCAAAAAAAAAAGGAAAAACAACCTACCAGCAATAACAGGAAAACTGAAATCTCCCACTTCTTTGTAACTGTAGGCTGCCATGCGAATCTGATATCTTGTGAATATGGAAAGGTTGGAAATTACTAAAGACGTCTGAGAGGCATTTTGTATCTTTATTATTTTCTCGAATGGGGCCAAAGGCGGTTCACGCGACCTTCCAGTTTCTACAATATGAAGTTTATATCCGCTGATGGCCCTATTGTTATTAAGAATTTCCCACGTCACTTTAACAGCAGTTGGACTGTAGTACATTTCTACGAGTGGTTGTGGAATGCTGATGCGAACTAAGAAAAGGAAAGTAAGTATTTTATTAACGAAAGTGAGTAGAAATAAATCATACCGGAGCTCCTCGCGCGCGCGAAGCGCGCGCGCAGCGGAGCACCATGGGTAAGAAAATTTGGTAAACTATCCGTCCGAGAAAATTTGGTTATGACGTAGCGTACATACACTACATGCCGGACGGATATGCCTTACTCACACTCGTAGTCTGTTAATTCGAATATTCGCCATTCTAATGAAGGTTAATTGACAGCTGTCAAACTAGAGTAGACGCTGACCATCATCACCTGAGTGTATCGCGGGCTCATTTGTCTATCCATTGAGGTCAAGTAGTGTTTAAAGTTTTGCGCTGATATTTTATTTGATCACGGGCTCAGTTCGAAGCCTCATAGCTTAGAAAATCTATCCATCTTAGAAAATTCGGCAATCACGTGACCGTACACCGACCACCCGACCTTCCGTTTGTCCGCACCACAAGCATACCAATATTTAATCTCACACTTTCTAGCTAGTTTGGGAGCCTGCAACCTGATATTGTACAACCATGTTTTGATTAATTGACAGCTGTCAAAATAGTGTTTCTGCTGACCAGTATCGCCTGACCCTATCGCGGGCTCAGGTATCGACCCACTGAGTTCGAGTGTATCCGCTGACAAGTTGCTATTTTTCAATTATCGCAGGCTCAAGATCAATTTTTTTTAAATGCATATGAAATAAGTCGTGTTCATGAGCCGCACTTTTAAAATGTTGATTTCGAACTAACCTTCGACGCGAAAATTCAACCGGCTTTTACATTTACATGCAGGGAAGGCAATCACTTTTGACTTTTCTCACTGTCACGCGCTGATCACGCTCTACGTCCAATTTTTGTGTTCTGATTGGTCAAAATTTGACAGGTGAGTTCATGCGGAAAATTTATGAGGCGTCTGGAAACTTGCTTACTGATAGCTGGAGCTGACAGAGTTTTGTGCCATCTTGTGATGCTTTAAACTGGCTATTTCTACTTGGTGTACAAAATGAAATACAGCTGCTATCAAGATTGTTCTGTAATTCATGACTGGTTTGTTTATTGCGCTTTTTGTTGACAAGTGCACCGCTTGTCACTGGAAATCCGATTTCGGATGGCATCGTTTTCAAAAATGAGCTTACTCACTGGCCCTTGCTTGAGGCGTAAGAGGGTTGAAAAGTCTCAAGCGATTCTGGAACACTTGATGACCTTCAGAAGCAGCATCTCGACTGGTAAGCCTGAGCAATTATTGTCTTTGATGTGTGTTTTTTTTTTTTTTTTCGGTTTCCTGAAGTCGAGCGTATGGTTTATGCGGCGTAAGTTTATACACGAGCAATGATCTAACCTACAATACTATCAGGTTTAAAAAACCTTTAGACACTTTTTGACCACAAATTCAAAGAAAAGGTTCCGAAGATTATTTAGTTGTGATTTTGGCTGTAAACAGAAAGCTCTGAGCGATTTTCTTGCCTCGAGTTCATCTTGAAAAAGAGCCAACACCGGGAAGCCGGCTTAAAACATAAATATGCTGATGCTTACCTGACTCATGATTTTCAGAGACACTTTACTTTCAATACTTCTCTTCGTCAATTAAAATTATTGTCTCTGCACATGTTTCACCGAATTATATTTATTTTATTGATTGTTAGTAGTCTCCGTCGCAATTTTTATTGTTCCCAGTCGAACATAAACATCGCATGCAGGAATACTCAAAACGCCGCGCGTAAATATCACTCACTTTTAAAGATTACACATAACAAAACCATCCACAGTTTAATAAAGGGAAATAAAAACTAAACATAACAATTTATCTATCATGTTGAAGCGGAAATGGTAATTCTATTAATCGCACTGCAAATTTGGTGCCTGTCAAAAGTGAGACCCGTCCGGCTGGCCCAAAAGTGATTTCGGGAATTTTTTTATCGTTTTTATTAAAAGCCCATAATTATTACCCTGCATATCACATAGGACCAGATTTTTCTAACTGAAAAGTCCCGGCATTATAGAATTCTCTTCATGAAAACGTTTTTTAATTTAATGCTATAATTTGTTGTGCAAAGGAAGAGCGTGCTTTGATCGTCGTGGATATTGAATGAGTGTAAATTCTCTTGCAAAATTGTGAAAAACTGCAGAATTATAGGTTTAAATAGGGCAAAAAAGAACAAATTTTGTCCGAGGTCTGTATGATAAAAAAAGGGCCTCATAGTACTGTTTACCTGAGACGAGATGAGAAAAAGTATGTTTAAAAGGCTGGTTTACACGCCACCAGATTCGTCGCCAAGATTTACTAGTAAACTAAACTTGTCGAACACAAAAAATCCGGCCTGATTTTTTATTTTGGCCTCTCTTAAGACAGAGGAATGCAACGTGTAAATTGGCTGCCACCAAGGACTATCGTGGCGCGTTTGTTTCTTAAAATTATATTTCGGGGTTGTCCAATTATTCATAGTCTCTCAAACGGAGCAATGTTGGAGAGACTGGTGAATGCCACATTTTGATGCAACAGCTAATGCAAATACAATACACGAATAGGTAGGTCTATTTGTTTTCCAGGCCTAATCTACTGTGATCGAACATGATTGCTATTTTTGGGTATACAAATAAGACTATTTAATAACTCGATGTAAAAGCTGTTTCACTCTTGGACTGTCAAACTATTTTTCTCTAAAATCACTTAGCCTTTGCCTCAAAAGTCAAATGAATGTGCTCCGATCTGAGGATTACAAGTTTATTGTTTGATTTGAATTATGAATTTATTAACGGGAGCTTCGCTTTTAGCCCTGGCTAAATCTATATATTAAATTTATGATGGCCTGAGTATCAGGCGTTAAAATCGCCTCTCCACTAATCCCTTAGTATTTTCCAATATTCAGGCTAAAGTGATGAGTACTAGTTGGTAACTCCTCTTCCTCGCTTTCCTAAATCCAAAAACGACTGTCTCCAGTGGCCTCTCCTAGATCCTCAAAATAATCTCTGGCTTACCATTATAGTTGCAAATGTAAATCTCAAGCTAACGGCTTACCCCTCACCTCCCTTATGACCGTTCGGTTCGATTCACGATTCTTTGCTTCCAAGTTTCGATTTTGGTTCGATTTTTGCATACCTTTTCCAGGGTGCTCTTAGTGAGTCATTATATTGTAAAAGCGGAATCCAGAACGCTTTAAATTGTGCGTTTATGATTGACGAGCAAAGATGATAGCATTTCGTGCACCATTTTGTGTTGCCTGGTAAAAATGCTGTCCTTCAACCACCCCTTGAGAATTTCCAAATAAGGCAAACTACGTGCGACACGCTCTTTGTCAGGTTCTCAAACATGGCGACGAACCAAGCGACTGTGAATCCTCCCGTCCCTGCATGTTGTTTACATTACGCGTTATGTTATAAGAATTAAGAAACATTTACATAATCGAATCGAAATAATCGAAATCGAAAGGCAATGATCGAAATCGAATCGAACCGCAAGGAATATGAATCGTTACACTCCTACATTTTTGAGGAACTGGGGGACCTGATGAACGCGTGACTAATTCCTGAGACCCTCATATTAAAAACACCGGTGTAAAGAGGGACACAGTAAAGTAAATTGTCTTTCTATTATATACACCTCCTTCGTCATTCATTTTCCTTCAGTTCGATCAACTTATATTTTATCATTTACGGCTTCAATGACGTCATCACGGCATCGTCGTGGTCGTCTTCATAATCATTGTTCCTCTCATCGTCACTCTAAATGCTGCCCTCCACTGAAACATTCGTATCATCTCATGCGTAATAAATTAACATAATCCTACCACAACTCACCGCTTTTTTCCGCGGTTGTCACATAGAAGCAAGCACTTCTGTTACCATCTCCAATTCTTGTAAAACCAGCCAGCTGTATACAGTACTTTGTAGACGCTTCAAGTTTCAGTAGATCAACACTCAACTGATCAGTTCCTACCGTCACGTTGTTGTATTGCGACAAGGGCTCAATAGCGTTTCCGTAATATACTCTGAAGCCTAGAAGTATTCCAGGGATAAATTCCGCGGGAATAGTGTCCCACTGAACGTAGATAGTGCTGGAGCTTGTACTGTTAGCCGATATGTTTAAGGGAGAGCCAAGAGGAACTACAAAGAATGTTACGAGAAACTTAGGAAAAAGTTATTTCTATTAAGACCCATTAAGACAGGACATTACTCTTGTTCTGAATGAAGCCAGACGAGGTTATCTATCGAGATAAAATGTGACACAACAAAGCAAGAGAAATAGGTTCTAATGATTTCTAAAATAATGGGAAAACAATTTTTGATCGTTTCAGATCTTTCTATTACTAACAAGGAAAGTTTATTTCCTACCGTCTTCATCTGTGCTTATGCAAAGAACTTGCGTTTCGTTACCGATTCCCATTCTGTTGAATGCCACACCCCAAACGCAATAGTTAGTAAATTTCTCTAATCCTGCGATGTCCAATCTAACTGAGTTCGCCTCTGCAATTTGCTCTCCACTTTCAATGCTACGAGATACGCGATGAATACGTGCATTTCTTTCGTAAAATATTTTATATCCAAGGATAACTCCTCGTCTGTGTTCCGATGGCAATCGATCCCAAGCGACGCCTATGGTGGTGGAGCTTGTAGAAAAGATGGAAAAATTCTGAGGAGGTGCAGTTGGAACTAAGTGAATAAAACATAACGCAGTACCGTAAAACGGGATAAACTGTTTTCATTTACAGACGGAATAACAACTCTGTAAGAAGAACTAGATCTCGATGAATCAGACAAGGTCAGAGGGCGTTAAGTACATGAGTCAGCTGTTTCATTTAAAAGAAAAATCCTTTTATTTAGAGATTAACTTTTTAAAGGTTTCTTTCATTCTAACAATTCGCTAATCATTTGTTTGTTGAGTGGACTGGGCAGTATTCTGTAAACAAAAGGGCCAATTAACTATAGAAAAACGCCAACAAAGAATGAACTGTGGCAAAGTAGGCGGCTTGGTTACGAAAACAACAGTCAAAGATATATAATTATAATTGGGCTCAGAGATTCGCTCTCTTAGCTCATTCTCTCTTAAAAACACTGAGATCCACCAATGAAGTAGCGTTTATAGTGCAAAATACTTAGCGTCCTTAGAGACGTTCGGTTTGAATAAACTGTGTGCAAGCTTAGGAAATTAACATAAGCAGGGATAAGCTCTCTGACTTGTTAAAAATATAGTTAATATAGGAACGAAACGTTCTGTAGAACTCGACAGCTTTCATAGTCTTTCGCTTTATCGATCATTGGTTTTGAATTTGCTTATTACATTTAGGTTTCGGTTGGGCCAAATTGTGAAATGTATATGTAACCGATCGCTGCATACTTTATAGCTTTGAAAAATACGTCCAGTTCGAAGTATTCTCTCAGCGAACATCCAACAGGGATTAATGTTCGTCTTACCTGCTTCCTCTGTTGTTATGAAGAGACATTGGCTTGTGTTACTAACTTTTCTTTCAGTAAATGAAGCAATCCCGATGCAATAGTTCGTAAACACATACAAACTGGTCAATTCTGTTGTGTAAAAATCCGCTGATGAACACAGAACGTAATTAACCTCCTGGTCCAAACTGTGTTCTCTGTAACTCACTCTGTAGCCGGTAAAGTTATCGTCCGGTGGCTTACCAGAAAAAGTCGAGTCCCAGGTAACATTAATGGATGACGAACTTGTGTTGTAGGCAACAATGTATGACGGAGGGTCTAAGAAAATAAGCATAAACAAGCCTTATTACATGGAATTTTGGCCATGCTGAAAACTAACCTGAGTCGGGTCTCAAATACAGGTCAATTTTCCACAAGTCAAAATACAGGTCACCGTGTAGCCTGCAGTGCTGGCGTATTTTGGGTGGGGGAAACCTTGTTCGTGTTCGTGTTCGTATTGTTGTAGCCACCATCTTGGATTTTATGACAGTGAAAGAGGGGAGAAAAAATAGTCTTCTCTTCTCTCCCCCGCCGATTCCCCGCCCCCTCCCCGCTCCCTTTGACTCGCCCGATTTCCTCCTCTCTTCGGGAAGTTTCAACATGGCGCTTTCGAGAGCAAAAACATTTGCGCGCCCCAAGAAAACGCCTGCACTGCGGGCTAGTCACCATGATACAAATAAATACATAGCATTAAAAGTGTCTGCTAGCCCAAATCTCCAGTTACCAAAATGCTCTGTTTGATCGAGGAGAATCTGTGTGGTTTGGTGATTTATCGATTGAGCAGCTTGTGACCTGTACCCTTGAACTGTGGAATGTCACCTGTGTTAGACCCGGCCACTAAAATGTTTTCTCGCCACCTGTGTAAGTGACTTTTAGCCCTATTCTGTTTATCTCTGGAACGGCTAGATAGAAATATTGGTGTGTATAGTAATTTCTGAGGCTTTCATGAATTGATTCACTGTAACATCCTGAAACTTAAGACAAAAAATCCCCTTTACAGCATTCACTGTTTCGAAGTTATGCTAATTTTTCCAAATTAATGCGAACCATACATACCTCTCTGAATAGTACATTTCAGTTTGAATCTTACTGCATCTTTTTAATGTAAAACATTGACAATATTCACACTGAAATGTACTGGTCTTGGAGGTATGTATGGTGCGCATTAATTTGGAAAAATAAGCATAACCTCAAAACAGTGAATGTTGTAACGCGGATATTTTGAATTCAAACATACCTTATTTCGGCTAATTACACCCGCACACTTGATAAGTTCCTGGTGTCGGATTTTCAGTTAAGTACCGGTGGGTCTAGATCGCCCAAAATTTGGCTTTTATTGATTTCAAAGTTTTTTGTTTATTGTTGCCATATAGTGAAATCGGTCATGCGGTCAGTGGAGAAAATTTTATGCGGTCGTACAAGGAGAAAATCACTTTTAAGGCAGCTGAGGCCTCAAATGTAATAAATGACCCTAAATGTAATAAAGGTCCTAAGTGTAATAACTTTTGGCCCTAAATGTAATAAAGGTCCTAAGCGTAATAACTTTTGGCCCTAATTGTAATAAAGGGTCTAATTATATGTGTAATAGGTTTTAGCCGTAAATATGGTCTTAACAGTATGCATGTATGCATGTATTATAACAGCCCCAAGCTTGATAAAGTCCCTGACTGAAACATGCGACGATATTAATGTTATAGCCAGCTGGCGATTCACTTTCTTCGCCCTGTTGTAGTCTTCATAGATATTCATTAACTTAGAAAGCGGCTAGAGTGCTCAAGAAGTAGGAGAAACACTTAACTACGTCTCGATCGTGTTTCCTACTGCATCCCTACATCGTGAAACGCGAGTTATAAACAAATGGAATCTACACAAAAGTTTTCAAAATACAGTAGTGACTTAGTAATTGAAACGGGAAGTATTAATGTTCATTAGAAACAATCGTGGTAAATTGACTACTACTGCCTATGGGGTTTTTTAATGTTGCGCCAAAAAAGAAATGTGTTTTTTTTTACCATTTTCTAAAAGAGTATGTCGGTCGGTCCATACAGAATGCTGTGAACACAAAGTTATATATAAACAGCAAGATATTAAGGGCAGTATATCCTTATAGTTTGCCTGACATCCCGACTTTGATTTTAATTTCTACCACGTTTTTTTCCAGGATTTCACCAAATGAATGAAATGACATTTTCAAATAACAGCTGGCTTTCCTGTTTTTCTAGCGACTATTATAAGGAACTCTACTTTGAAGACCCAAAAACTTTTTTTAGAGCTATAAGAAGAAGAAGAACAAGAAGAGGAAGAAAAACAAAATGATGATTGTGACTGTGATGATAATGGTGGTCCAACCAGTCAACTTCCAAATGAAATACTCGACAAAATAATAGACTTCGCGTTAACTGGAACTGACATAAGTATTATCATCACCTATAATTCCCTTAGCCAGCTTGGTGAACCCTTTAAAGAACTCACAATGCTTTATATTTGTCGGCTACCACGAATAAGCTACAACAACCGCGACACTGCACGAAGTTGCTGTTTCAGCTTGCGCAAGATGTGCAAAGAATTTGGCCTATACAGTGGATTTGTGACGGCTCTTTTAAAAGAGATAATAGCCAGCCCTAGATAGATAAAGGCGTGGGTTGAGCTGTTGTTTGTTGGGGTTGGAACTTGGTTTTATGTTACCAATGTATGGTGGAAAGGACGAGGGAGCAATTAAAGTACACTTACTTGCACCTATTTGTTAACAGACAAAGTAAAAACAGTTTAGCTGATGTTGTGTTATTGACTCAGATTAGAAATCATGGTGGCACTACAGGCTGCAATTTTGACATTTTTGGCCTTTGCCTATGAAAGATTTTTTTTTAGTTCAATCCAATGGATGAAGTTACAGTTTCTTGAGAAAATTTACTATAATAAACGAGGCTCTTTTGTTTTTTTGCACAAGTTTTAAGATACGTCAGTCCTTTTTTGACAGTAAAGAGTTCTTAAAAAAATTTGCTTCATATGATGGACCTCTGAGTGTTTTCAAGTTGTCGTTAAAGAAGTATTTTGATAACAATTGATAACTATTAAACCTATTTACAATTAATCACTATTCGGTCAAAGGACTATTTTCAATTCACTTCGATTAAAAACTTTTTTCAGTTAATAATGACAATAAAAATAACAGTGATAATTGCCCCCGCAGGGATTTCGCCCAGGGGCGAAATCCCGAGGAGGCACCCTAGTAACTCGCGCGTATATTAAGGACAGTACTTACAGTTCAAATATGCAGTCAGTATACCAGAAAAAATCTCGATTTGCTCTAACAGGGGCAGCGAGGAAATGGTAGGTAATGATGACGTTTCTATTGTTTGCGCCCGCAAGTACGAAATGGTTAGGATGACGTTAAACACAAAAAATCCCGAAGGAACAGCTTACAATACGCAGATTTTGTGACATTAATTGTGCGGTCACACTTCGATACTCTTTTGCGTTACGTGTTATCAGTGACATTCTGTGGAGCAGTGATTATGAAAGTTATGGACCAAAAGACACTCGTTAAGCGCAGATGAAGTTAAAAGGTGCGTAGAACAGTGTATATTTTAACACTGAGTGAGTTTGCGAGACACGAGTTCACAAATCTTTGATTGGAAACCTTCAGCTGAACCTTGCCAGACACTCTTTCTCTCTCTTTGACCGGAATAAGACTCGGCCCAAAACAAGCTAGACGAGTGAATGATTCAACGGCTAGCTTATCACTAGCAGAACGATGGACGATTACAGAAATTCGCCGACCATCAAATTCTGTGCTGACTTATTCCCTCCTCACAGATGTCCATCCGCTATAAAGTTTAAAATAAGACTAGAATGCTCAAGCGTGAATTGCTCAAACGTACTTTTAATTTCTAAGGCTTACTTTCCGGCAAATGAAATGAACTAAATGTAAAAAGTGAAATAGAAATAGCGAAAAATTAAACTTCTAATTAAATCTTTTCTTATGGTTTAGAATAAACTATTCTTGAAACTGAGAATGATTATGTTTTGATCAAAGCTGTGTAAATTGAACCGAAACTGTGCATGGAACCTCGCGTTTATTTCCTGTTTTTATCTCACCTTTTGTATGGAATACGTGTGAACATCTTCATTATATATGAATCGGTATATTTCAAAGAGCTACACAGGGAGCAAGAATACTATATACAGAGCGGGGGCAGCTGTAGTGTCAACTATTACTAATGATATCAATAACTGATGATAAAATGGCTATATAGGGGATCTGCCTGGGGTATTTAGTGTTTGATATTCCCTAGACACATTCTGGCGCTCAGTTAACCTGAAATAAGGCTAAAAGCAAACGCTATGAAATCGTCTTATGATCCTAAGCATATAAAAAGCTGAAAGAATTACACTTAGGACCTTTATTACATTTAGAGTCAAAAGTTGTCACACTTAAGACCTTTATTACATTTAGGGCCAAAAGTTATTACACTTACGACCTTTATTACATTTAGGGTCATTTATTACATTTGAGGCCTCAAGGCTCGAAATTCGGGGGACGAGCAGAAAAAAGGAAGGCGAATTGCCTAATTATTTTGGAAAGTTATTTTTGACTCAAGTTATCTAGAGTTTTAAAAACATATACTGGGAATATTGGAATACTGTCTACTCTTTGCGCAATACTGCTTTGCGCATAATTACAACCTGATCATACTTCACCTTATTAGGAACCGGCGTAGAGGCACAAGTTAATCATTAGTTTTAGTCCGGAAATTGTGTTATTCTTATCATGTTAATTTGCTGATCTTCTGTTACGGATTTGGTCTCCAAAAATGGTTCCAGCTAATAAATAATTAATAAATAATTTTTTTTTTGATAGATAGAATTTTTTTATCCCAAGAAATGTCCTAAATTATATGATGGTGGTTATTATTATAATAACTACTACATAGTTACAATATCCAGTGTTGGTCAGGTACTCAGTAATCATTAACCTGGTTGTTTGTGAATGGATTAATTGTCGTTGCTGTTTACATCAATAGCAGGCGGCTTTCCAGGTCACGGCGGGAACAATGGACACCGAGGAGAATTTTAGAATGGTCTAGAAATCTTTATTTGATAATTTATCCTTAATCAGGGGCACCAAACGACTGCCGTTTTCTGTGAAATATCTGTTCGTAGACGCAGAAATTGCCTAGAACTTTGTAAAGCTTGAGGAAGGCTAACAAATTCTAGATGACCGTTTCATTCATGTACAATTTTCAAAGTTGATCTAATAAATTCCGTGCGATTTTCTGAAGTTTAATTTTTCCCATTTCACTCCCCAGGATAAGCTACTTTTCGAAGAGAAAGAAAAAGAAATTTTCGGAATCGAAAATGCGATGCAGAGAGGAATCAGAAAAATTCTCTCTTTCGTAAAACTATAAATTGCAGCTAACATTTTTCGGGAAAATAATACCGAAGCCCTTTTAATTTCGAAAAGACTCAAGTTGCCCTAGGATGACCAAACAGATATAGTTTTTTTTAGCGCCACTTAGAATAAATTTCTAGAGATATAAAAGTACTCTGGATACAGTAAAATGTGTTTTCAATGCAATTCCTTAGTGGCGAACGTTTATTTAAACACAGCTCCTAATACCAAAAACAAAATGCTAAAGACATAATTTTGCGACTGGACATTGGAAGAAAAAAAGAGGTCCTTTAAAGGAGTTTTGCTACAAAAATTTGCCTTTCTTTATAAGAAACCTTTGTTCGCTGTGTTCAATTCTCTTTAATATGGAGAGTGAACAAGTTAATAAACTGACTACAGAAATTTATATGCTTTCGTTACACTAACAAGTGATCTGCCGTACACTCAGCGCCAAAGAGGGATAATGGTCGATAAAGAATACATAAATATATATTACTTACACAAAAAATAACACTTTGCGATAATTTTGCAAGCTGTAATGATTTAGCGAAAGTTGGACAAACGCTGGATAATATTCCTTTTCGATTCAGAACATGCTGGAATATTAATTTTGAGCTACTTACCTAATGTTGCTCCGAATTCAATACAGTTTATCCACAAAAGGAACTGAAGGAAGATTTGTAAAGGCAAATCATGTTTAGTGCCCAGGCTCATGTTCATCAAGTTAAGTGTCAGGTCGCGCCAAGAAATGCTGACAAATAGTTTGTTCACGTTAGTACTAGATAATCAAACACTTAGTAAGCCACATATGTACTACTACCATTATTTAAGTTTTTGTTGGCTAGATACTATTACTTCAACTGCGGATACCTATTACGTACAACAGAGATTAAATGTTGCCAAACTGTAAACAACTGTTACAAAAGCTGCATTATAATTCCGCTCGCTCATTATTATTTTTATTTTTTATTTTTTTTATGTTTTTGTGTTTAGCAGGTTTTTGTTATTGAGTATGTTTGGCCTTTTAGCAAATTGTTGTATTAATCAGTCAAGCAAATGGTAAGAAAAGGAGTGAACTTTTGGAACTTTTTTACTGGGACAAAACTTTCTCATGGTCCGTCAATAACATGTTACAAAAACGAGCAAACAAACGAACCTCGAACTAACTGCACGATAACTATTGAATTCGGGTCCAGAATATAATTGTGATTTGTCACTCTTACGGCAGATTAATAATTTCCCTCGGGCTTCGGCATCTGTAAATAATTGATTTGCTCACCACTGACAAATCATAATATTTTGCTCGGCCAAGTACAATAATTGATTATATATTTTTCAGTGTTAGGATATGCAGCCTATGGAAACTTAATCAGTTCATATTACTTTGTGTGGCATTAATTTTTTTTGGTTTTGTGAACCACTCTCTTGCGGTAATCTTTCCATTAAAAACCTGATGTTCACCAGCAGTGGAGTTCTCTATAAGTTAATAACTATGATTACACCAATTCAATCCTGCTTGCAACCCTGTAGATACACGTTTTGGAACAAGTTAAATCCTACATAAAAATCCGAAATTAAAATACGGAAAATGTAACATAAAGTTGCACTTGATTTTAAGAGGGAGGAGACAAAAATTGGTCGTTAAACTCCTATTTTGTCTACTTGGGATTTATCTTACTCTCTTTGCCTGTTCTTTTGGTCTTACTGAAATCACACTACATTTTCGTACGGGGCATATAACCAGCATTCTCATCAATGTCCAAGTGCAGAAAAAAGTACTTAGTCTATAAAGCAACCCTGGCAACAGTAACGACACTTGCCTTTTATAGTAAAGTCACAGGTCACACGAAATGTTTTTTTTTTTTGGGTGTTTCTGTCAAATATCACAAGCAATTATCATGCTGTTTTTGTTTTTACTATTTTGTATATTTTACGTACACGTTCAACATTTTCAAATTACGCTGAATATAAAATTACTGCTCTCAGCCAATCAAATCCTGAATTTTTTTCCTAAAAACTAGACATTATGGCAGACATAATGGGCGCTTTCCATTTACGAAAAAAACCCGGAAATTTCGGTGGTAGCAAAAGTGGAATTTCCGATTGGTAAAAAGTTGTTCCATTTGGTCGTAAACCCCGGTACGTGGCCGGGTGCCCGACCGTGGACCTGTAACTGGTACAAACTACAAGAAACGTCAATGGAACACGACATTCCGTTCGGAAATTCCAACCGGGAAAACGGGACCACCTTTTTAGATTTTCCACTTTTTCTGGGAATTCTCCAGTGGGACGAACCGACGAAACGTGTTCCATTTACCGCCGAACCGGAAATTCCGGAAATTTTGACTAAATGGAAAGCGCCCAATGTAATTTATGGCAAGGCGTGATACTCACATGATAACTCGCTTGGTCAGGCTGTACCAGGTACTGCAAATCTAGCCAATTAGGTTATAGGGCGGTGTCAGGGTTAAGTAGGTATATCAAGGTATTTTTCCCTGTAATTCTTCCTTCTCTCCCTCGTCATCAACTTGGTCAGATCTCCAGCAAAATTATTTTCAGGCAACTACTTCCTTTGATTATATTCTCTTTTCCTCATGCCGCCAATCCGTGTTTTAATTCTGGGCCACTCTTTCATTCGCCGTGTGCACGATTTTCTTTGCCGCAGTTTTAATGCGCACATTGCAAAAAATTTAAGTCTATAGATGGCGATCTGCTCATAAGATGGCATGGGATTGGAGGTAAAACGGTTTCTAAAACTAAGGAGCATGATTTAGGTGTACGAATGACCTTACCACCATTTCGGCCGTTGAAACTGGCTCGGCAATTGAAGATCTGTGTCGTTTACCTTATGAGTCATACGGAGTGGAATTGATTTGCTTTTGTCAAACCCTTTAAAGGGAAGATGCCTCGTCTTTAAACAAACAGGTTGACTTGTTAACGAAGTATCTTAAGGTGGTTTTAGAACCCATTCCTTATGTATTTTACTGGCGTCACAGAGGGTTTTGGCGTTGTAAATCACGTTTTCTTGCTCGGGGTGGTATTCATTTAAACAAACTGGGACATTATAAATATTTCCGCAGTTTGAGAGGCGCAGTTGTTAGATGTATACGAATTTTCTCAGGTCGTTAACGGCAGTAAATTTTTCCCATGTATTTGCCAGTTCCCTAATTTTGATATTTGTTGCTGTTTACCAAGCCGAATGTTATGCAGCCTTGCCCTTTGTTCACTTGTTGTTGGAAAGTACTTTCCTACCTATAAGCAGGCTTGCTACTTTGTTCATGCACTTTTTATTAAATACCGTGTTTATTTTTGCGGCTTTGGTTGTGTTATTTTGTGCTTTCGCTTTACCATTTTGAGTGTACAACGTACCACTTTTGACCGCCCCTATTTTTGGGAAGTGTGTCCAATGCACTCGGTATCAGTGATTATGCACGTTTTTTCATGGAACTTGGCTTTTTTCTATACTGTTACTGCTATCTTATTTATCGTATTTTGTCACATATTTTTCAATTTCTTTTGTGGTTACGTTGGGCCTGTTAGGCTATATATATCTTGAACTGCCTTTCCCAAGTGTTAAGTAATTTTCCAGACAACAATGGCTCGCGGGGTATATTCGTATCCCCTGAAGTGCTGTTAATTGTCCCAGTCTTGTTTATTTTTGCCAGTTTCAGTAGTCTTTTTTCTAAAAAATGCCTCCGCGAAAACGACCAGCAACGCAAACTACAGCGCTCGCAGCCATTCCATCCGTTCGCCCCAACAAGAGAGCCCGGCGGCCAAGACTGCGTCCTGGGGAGGCGCCCACTGTTCATGAAAGCACTACAACTGAGCAGGCCAACGTGATTGCTTCAAACCCTTCAAGTTCATCCCCAGGCACAGTGTCCGTGGATTTCGACGCAATCACCGCTACCATTTCTGCCGTAATTACACAAAAGGTAAAGACGGCCTTCTCGCCTGCTAAATTGACTTCGCTGCTCGACAACAACTCCCCAACGCCAGTAGTTACGCAAGCGCCAACTGAACTTGTTGAACAGGCTGTGGATGACGACGTCAATGTCATCACCAATCCTCAGTCAGGTATTGGAGCAGTTGATCCTATTTTAGACTTAGTTAACACAGGTCCGTATGATCAAAGACCACAAGTTCAATTCACCAGTGTTTCTGTCCCTGTCACTTCGAGAGTGAGTTCCAAATCAAAGCAAAAATTTGGGCAAATGAATATATTAATTTAGGGTCGTTATTGTCTTATTCACCACAGCAGGAGGAAAAATACTCACTATCTATGTCACCGTCAGTCGCCGGTTCTTCGAGCCAGCCTCAACTGACGCTTGAACCTTGTCACGTTTCTAAGAAAATAACCAACATTTCACAGTGGGTCTCTGCGTTTAACAATTACAATTACAATTTAACAATTACACTCCTCAATTAATAAAATATTGCGAGGTGGTCCGGGATCTGGCTTCAAAGGGGGGAGATTGGCATTGGTATGATGAACAATTTCGTTACCTAAGACAATCGGCACCAGAGCAGCATCCATGGGATAGGATACACTGGGAGTTGTGGTTACGGGCGTCAAATACTTTTCGGAAACCGCAACCGCCCACCAACAAACCACGTTTTCGTTCTCAATTCTTTCCGAAAGGGACCTGCTGGGCCTTTCAAGCGGGTAAGTACTGTTCCGGATGCAAATTCGAACATGTGTGTTTTAAATGTGGTGGAAAACACCCGGGCGGCCAGTGCTCAGCTTCGGCGCCAAAAAGTGGATTCCCTTTCAGTTCAAAAGGCAAACGAGATAGTACATCGGGTTCTCCACAGCAAGCCAGTCACGCCAGTAAGAGTGGATCGGCATGATTTTTTGCTGCATGGTTATGACGGAGTTTTAAAACAATTTCTTGTTGACGGTTTTCGTTTTGGTTTTCGTATTCACTTTGTTGGTGAGCGGTTTTCGTCTGAATCTCCTAATCTTAAAAGTGCTCTGGATCAGCCAGTGGTAACGCATGCTAAGTTACGCAAGGAATGTGATGCAGGGAGAATTGTTGATCCTTTCACAGCTCCCCCCTTTCCAAATTTTCGTTGCTCTCCACTGGGCATTGTTCCCAAAAAGGATCCGTCTGAATTTCGATTAATACACCATTTATCTTACCCCAGGGGATCCTCCGTAAATGACTTTATCCCTGATTATTGTTCTACCGTGAAATACGCATCGGTCGGGGATGCGGTGAAGTTACTCAAGTGGTTAGGAAAGGGTTGTTTTATGGCCAAAACCGACATGAAATCTGCTTTCCGTATAATTCCTATTCACCCTGCTGACTATTCCTTGCTTGGTTTGAAATGGGACAACATGTACTATTTTGATAGGTGTCTCGCGATGGGGCTTTCCATTTCCTGTGCGATTTTTGAAGCGTTTAGTACGGCACTTGAGTGGTTGTCCATTAATCATCTTGGTGCTTGCGCAGTATTACATATTTTAGACGATTTTTTGTGCATAGCCCAAAGAAAAGGACAATGTGAACACGACTTAGATAATTTTACTTTGATATGTAATTATCTTGGCGTTCCTTTAGCCCCTGAAAAAACGGTGGGTCCCGCAACTGTTTTACAATTTGCTGGAATTACTCTTGATTCTGTACGCCAAGAGGCGCGCCTACCAGAAGACAAACTTCTCAAACGTCGTGCGATGTTACAAAATTTCCATGCCCGGCGCTCCGTCCGCCTAAAGGAACTCCAATCTCTGATAGGTTTATTGAATTTTACACGCCTCGTGGTTCTTCCGGGTCGAACGTTTCTGCGTCGCATGATAGATCTTACCAAAGGCGTCAACAAGCCTCATCATCACATTCGTCTTTCGCGAGCCGCTAAATTAGATATCATGCTTTAGCTCCGTTTTCTTGACGATTTTAACGGGCGATCGTTTTTCTTAAGTGACGTTTGGGAAACATCCCAGAGTCTTCAGCTTTATACTGCAACCTCGTCCCCAGGGTCTTCTCGCTTTCCAATATGGCGGCGGCAGGAGAGAAGACCCTGGCACACAGCGAACTAAAACGATCGCTGATTGGTGCATTCCATAGCGCGTTCATACGTGCGCTCTCATTGGTTTATTCCTTCCAAAACAAAAATGGTTAACCTTTGAGAGCTTCGTAGAGGCCGAGAAGTGCTTTCTTCAGTGTTTGAGACCTAAAAGGTGGGCAGAATTGAGGTCTGATTGTTCGGAAAACTGTGACTGTACCGTTGGAAGGCAAAGATTCGAATATAGTGATATCTGGTAATCGCTGGGAATATTATAACGCGTAGAGGTATTTCTGTTACTCGTACGTGCTATTTGGTTTGTGTGTTCCGAAAATTACTAAAGATTTGTTTCTTTAATTTCCGATTTGTGAAAGAATACTTGCAAGGTTTCAGCTTATCAATAAATTTAGCTGCCCGTTGCAAAGGTGTAGTATTGTTCTGCCTTTTGTTTTCTTTGAACAAAAGCTGTATCCATAATATTATTAATGTATGGGGTTATACGGAAATCTTGCATAATCTGCGCTTTGTCTCAGCAGTTTTTTGTCAAGTGAAACATTCTTTTCATTTGATCGTAACATTCATGGGCCTAACCTGGCCTTCTTTTAATTTTTCCACTGTGATTTTGAAGGGGGACGAGGAGCGAGAGAGGCAGATGTCGAAACAAAACTAAAAATTGAAGCCAAACATAGTGTCGCTATCATTTGATATTTTTAATCCTGACTTTTCATTTATTCAGTTTTTAGTGTCACAATAATGATAATTTATTATTATTTGCTCATTTCATTGGCAGTAAAATACAGCTAAATACAGAGACATTGGGAAAATAAACTGTTTCCTTTCTCAGAAATGAAAAACTTACATATTGATGTATTGAAGCTTGTGGGATTTCTTTCTAGTTGCAAAAATAAAATAAATGAAAGCACATGATGTCTTTTATTTTATAAAGTTGAAAACAGTGATCAGCCCATTGAAGGAAATCTGACAGTCTTGGAGTCTCAATTTTGCGCCATGGATACCGCATTCTGGATTCTTTGTCAGTGGAACATGGATTCCGGATTCCAGTTATAAGTGGGATCCAGAGTACTTTAGGACCTTTATTCCAGATTCCAAGAGAAAAATTTCTCAGATTCCAGACATGGGGTGACAGTGACCCTAAGATAACTACGTTTTCTGTCAAACTAAAACCTGTCAATTGAGCTTCTAATTACTGTAGGCTAAGTGTGCATGTTGTTCTTGTCACTGCACGGTGTTCTTGTCACTATATCCTTGAAAAGGGGGTTTGTGGACCAGGTGAAAAAGTGGCTGGTACTGTAGTATTCCAAAACCAGCTGGGTATGATTGTGAAGCAGCTATAATTCAGTTCTAAAACTTGGATTTAAAAAAATAAACTACTTCAAAGGGTGCATATATCACTATCCACTGAATAAACAAGAGCGGAAGGGGCCTGCAGCATCTCGATCATGGGATTTTTCATATCGGGATGCAAAGGCTTTTGAAGTGTTTTGGGCCAGAGTCCCCATTAGCATAGTGAGCTTTTAGTTGCCTAGTCATGGCCAATGAGTTTTAGGTCACGTGGTCCCAAGCGAAATAGTGAAACAGTTTCCCTCCAGTTTGCCTAAGATAAGTCACCGAAATGAATTGACCAAGAATTAAGGCCTGGGAAAATGCCACCCAGGGACAAGGCAAGGCTTTTAGCTTGATTAGGTGTTGCGGTGTGAGGTTGCAGCTGTTAGATGTGCTGGCTCAAATACTTTCAAAGTCTACTTTAAGGTGGTGGTTAGTCTTAGTAATAGTGTCTGTATTATAATCATATCGTCAGAAATAATCAGATTAACCCAACTAGTAAACTGATAATCGATTATAGTAGATTATAGTTTTGTGCCCCCTGTGTGCCACTTTCAACACTGAAAATAATTTTGTAAGTGAACAAAACAAAAAACCTACCCTGCAAGCAGAGGCGTATCTGTCACATAGTTAAACCAACTAAACATCATATAAACTAAATTAAGACCCCATCAAAAAGACAACACAGGTGTATTAATGTCCTTATTTGTCAACAATGTTTTTGTGAATTTTCCACAACAATCAACTGAACATTTGTATAAGCAATACTCACTTTGCTTTAGGTTTCTGATGCTTTATAGATTATGATCGATAATCAGCACACCACTACCAAGTCATGTCTCAATTAGAGTATGAAAGGGCCCATCTGACGAGCAAAGCGTGTTTGACTTAAAACATCTATTATCTCCAAATGAGATAGGAACTTTTACTGTGCACATGACTCAGATAGGACTATCAAATTTTTGAACAACTGGAGTCTAGCCTTTAGTCAATTTGCACATTGACATGGCAAAGTGCAGCCCCAAGTAATATGTCAAATAAACCAAAGTCAGGGATTAAGAAAGTTTTTGCTTTGAAAATCAAATCTATTTCAAAGTGGAGAATACATTTTGGATTGCTATATTACTAACAATGGAAACACTCTTCACCTTTTGCTAGCTATTAAAGCGGGGTTAATGCTTTTTTTACATCTGAGAGGCAAAAAAAAAAAACAATAATAACAACATCTTAAATCCTCTGTTAAGGCCCCCTCTCTCAAATAAGCCCTCCTTTTCAGTGAAAGAAAGTTTTAACAATAAGCCCTCATCTTTTTTAACCCCCATCCCACCTTCCCCCCTTTTCTTATTCTTCACTAATAAATAAGAGACTGTATAAATCAATGAAAACTGTAAAGCTTTCTGTGGACCGATCCAGGATGATTTATTCACCAACTGGAAGTTCGGATTTGTTTTTGATCCTCGGCTGCTTGACCTCCAACCTTCTTGTACTTGGGCTTTTTCACTTGGCATTTTTTTTGTGGGGAACTAATACCACCGTCTTTGCTAGATTAAATAAGGCCCCTATCTCTATTGCCCGGAAGCACTGTGAACGGGGTTAGATATCAAAAGCCAATAACAAAGTCTAAAAACTGTGAAGTAGATGAAGATTGACAATAATTTTATTACCTGTACCAGTTCAAGTGACAAACTATCCAAACTGACCAAGGAACTGTTTAACTTTCGACCAAAGTTTCCTCAAATTATATTAACAAAATAGTGTTCTCTGGTTCTTGTTTTCAGAAAAAAAATTGTTTTTTTACATATCAGAGTTCAGTTAAAATTTGTGCAGATAGAAAAACAATAGTCAAAAACCTCATGAAGATCTGTAACAAAACTGACGATAACTTATCAGCTTAAAGTGTCTGCGACTCAATTTAATGCTTAGTTGAATTTCGGAGCGGAAGAGGTCAGTAGTATAGATGGCTACAGTAGGTCCTGACCAATCAGAGCGCAGCAAATTTCATCTCGACCAATCAGAATCGCGCATTTCACCCATGTGACTTTTGTGACGTCACACCCATTGTTTTAACCCACGTGACCCCCTAGGAATAAAGAACACACGCACACAAGAGTTGAATCTACATGCTTGGCATAGTTTTAATGACCGCGTGAAGCCCTGGATACAAGTGGGACGTGTGTGACGCCCTACTGACGTCACGCCCATTACAAATCTAATAACAGGTCGAGTTCGTTCCCAATCCTCTGGTAGCCATAGGGATAACTGGATCGGGTGGCGACCTCGATGACGCGCTTGTCAAACACCAACCCATACTGCTTCACGCGCGGAACCACTTGAATTTGTTTCTGTTCCAAATCCCGTTGGAAATAATAAGGGTTGGTCAGGTTCAAATTGCGTCGAGAGTCCTGGGGCGAATCCAATTCGGAGAGAATGTTGTCTTTCATGGTCTGAAAATTGAGAATGGCGGATCCACGGACGTTCAAGGTGAAACCGCGTACCTTGCA